ATAGGAGGAGCACCTCGAAAATTAGCTCCAATCCATCACCAAATCAAAAAGAAAAATCTTATAAAAATTAAAAACAACAATGACGGATACTGTTTATTTTATTCATTAATAGCAACAATGATCCGTTTTATTAGAAATTTAGATCGATCTCAATATTATGAATACATTCATGGGAGGTATGGACAAAGAGGAAAATTTGAGAAAGATACTCTTGAACTTATGCAACAAATAGGAGCTCCTCTTGGACAAAAAGAATATGATGCTGAAACTTGGGTTCCTCCTATTGTGGACTATTTGAATGAAAAATATACAGGCCAGTTCTGTTTTAAAGTATTTGTTTTTGATTGCCTGGGTCATTATACCCCTTGTTTTAAATATGGTCCAAAAAACTACAATTCACCTTTGCTCCTTTACTTTGACGGCTCCCATTTCAATGGAGTTACTTGCACCGGTGGGCTTTTTGGGCAGCCTTATTGTTTGGAGTGTGAGACAGTTTACTCTCACCCAAAAGCACACTCTACTACCTGCCGTGCAAAATGTCTGAATTGCTCCCGAATAGGGCCACTCTTCCCATGCCCTCCAGGAAACAACTTTTTCAAAAAATGTGGCAGGTGCTCTAAACAATTCAACAATGAGAATTGTTTTAATTATCACACAACTTCAAACTTTTGTATAACATCAAAAAAATGTGAATTATGTGGAGTAATTTGGGATACTAGAGTCAACAGCAGAGGGGGTAGGACTGGGCATGTTTGTAATGAGCGCTATTGCACAACCTGCTCAGGATACCATGATCCAAAGAGAGGATGTTTTGTCAGACCTTTGGAACCCAAGGAGCAAAAGCCTTACAGGATCGTGGTTTTTGATCTTGAGACAACACAACACTCTAGAGTGTTAAACAACAATGGAAGAATACATCAACCCAATTTTATTGCAGTAAAAGTTACATGCCCCAAATGTATTGAGAGGGAGCAAAATGCATGCAAAGTATGTGGGAGCAATCGGCTCTTAACTTTCTCGGAGCGACCATTTTACAAAACAACTGTTGATAGTCAAAATGTAACAACAGACCCACTTGTCGCCTTTGTCAAATGGATTATTGAAACAACAAACGAATGTGATACAATAGCTTTCTCCCATTTTGGGGGAAGATTCGATATGGTCATCGTTTTCAAAGAGGTCTTTCTTCAAGGATTTACTCCCGAAATGCTCAAGAATGGGAATAAAATGTATGAAATGAAAGTTCGTCTTGGAAAGAAAAAGAATATGCTTATATTTAGAGATAGTTTCAATATCATGCCAATGTCTTTGGCATCACTCGTCCCAGCGTTTGCTCTTAAGGTGGAGGATAAGCCATTCTTTCCTCACCTAGCAAACCATCCCAACAACTATGGAAAAGAGATATATCCATCACCATCTGACTACTTCGCAGATGGAATGATGCCTGAAAAAAAGAATGAATTTGATAAATGGTATCAGATGAACAAGGAGCTCCCTTTTCACTTAGACGAAGCGTTGGCTGCTTATTGTACCAATGATGTAGAGATATTGCTAGCAGCTCTTCGTGCGTTCAGAAGTGAATTCATTGAGGTCACAAAACGAGCAGCAGGCGAAAGAGCAGCGTCTTCAAAAGCTCACGGAGGTATTGATGTTTTAAGAGAATCAATGACAATAGCTTCTGTGTGCATGAATCATTTCAGGACAAACCACTTGAAGCAAAATCATTTGGCTCTTGTTCCTGAAAAGGGTTATGACAACGCAGAAAATCAAAGCAAACTTGCTCTGAAATTTATGAAATGGTATGAGGAGAAGCACAATGTAAATATTCAAAATGCATATTCTAAAGAAGGAGAAAAGAAGATTGGAAATTATAAATTAGATGGATGGATAGAAGAAGAGAAACTTGGAATAGAAATTAATGGTTGTGCATGGCATGGCTGTGAGCGATGTTATCCTGAATACAACATAGTGCTACCAAATGGAATTGCAGCAGGTAAACAACGAGAAAAAGATCAATTTCGATTAAATTTTATAAAGAGCCAAGGGATTAATGTCCAAGTCTTTTGGGAGTGTGAGATAAGAAGAATGTTGGATAGAGATAGAGAGATGAAAAAAAAGTTCAGAAATTACTTAGACAACGGCCCAATCAATATTCGCTCTTGCTTCTTTGGAGGTAGAACAGGACCACTTCAGCTTTTCTATTCACCAAAAGAAGGAGAAGAAATCTCATATTATGACGTCACCTCCCTTTATCCTTTTATTAACGTAACTACCAAATATCCTGTTGGACATCCTCAAGTCCATATTCTCAACAACGATATAAATTGGAAAAAGCCTGAGGACAACATATACGAATTGGCAATACTTAAAGTCTTTGTGATCCCTCCAAGGAGTATTGACGTTCCAGTTCTTCCCATGAAAATTGGAGAGGATGAAGATGAGAGGTTGCTCTTTCCTCTCTGCTCCAAATGTGCAAAAGAGAACCCCAAAGGAGCGGTAAATGAAAACTATTCATGTCCTCATTCAGACCACCAACGTGGCTGGGTGAGTACATGCACTTCAATAGAGCTCAATGTTGCTCTTGAGGAAGGATATAGAGTGACAAAGCTCTTCAGAGTTTTGGAGTTCAGAGAGAGCGACGACAAATTATTTGCTCCATATATTTCTGAATTTATGGCTGCAAAAATACATTCATCTGGCTTTGACTCCTCCATTAAAGACAATTTTGCAGCAGAGGAGCAATTTATTAAAGAGTGTAAAGATAAGTTTGGAATTATTATAGAGAGGAGCAAGATGGGGCCAAATAAGGGGAAGCGTACTCAGGCCAAATTAATGCTGAATAATTTGTGGGGGAGATTCTCCTTAAGAAATGTTGGTCTCTCTCAATGTGCAATTACAAACAACCCTGCTGAACTACGAAAATATTTAGACGACAGATCAATTGAAGTTTCAGCTTTGGATGAGCTCACACCAGATATTTTGCTCATCACTTACTCCAAAAAGAAAGATTGGGTAGAAGAACATGCTTGCTCAAATGTTGTCATCTCCTTATGGACAACATCCGCAGCGCGAATTCATTTGCTCAGGGCAATGCAAAAAGTCGTCCGAACTCCAGGATGTAACCTTCTATATACTGATACCGACTCCCTAATTTTTTCTCATCCTTCTGGAAACTGTCCCCTTCAGCTAGGTCCCCACTTGGGGGAATTCACAAATGAGTACCCATCACATGAAATTTTGGAGTACTGCAGCGGCGGAGCAAAACAGTACGGTTTAAAATTACGACGTAAGGAGCAACAAACAACAAATTTTGAATATGTTTTAAAAGTCCGCGGAATGACTCTAAACTACGATGTGATTCAAAATCAAGGGCTCAGATATGATACATTCAAGAAACAAGTTTTATCTTATGCAAGAACTGGAGAATTAGAACCGATAAATATTTTGTATCCCAATTTTTTGCGACCGTCTATTAAAGATGGTTGCGTCATTTCTAAACCTTTATATAAAATGTATAAACCCGTAGTATGCAAAGGGATCATTCGACCATCTGATTATGTTGTATTGAATTTTGGTCACATTAATAATATTCATCCTAGGATTTCCCCTCCCTAATTTTTTCATTTGTAATTATCTTATTTTTTAAATTGTATTTTTTACAATATTATATTAATTTTATTCATGATAAAAATATAAAAAAATGTTGCAAAATTAATAAAGATAAGTTTACAATTTTAGGGGTAAAAGAGCACAATTAAGAATAGGGAGATAAAAGAGCAAAATTAAGAAAGAGAAGTAATCAGTTTTAGGGAGAAAAGAGCACAATTAAGGGTTAGGAGTATCAAAATTAAAATTAACAATTAGAAAGTGGTAATTTTAGGGGTAACTATGCACAATTAAACAAATAAAGTGTTAAATTTAATCAAATTCTGTTTTTATAATATTTCACCATTGGCTCAGATCACCACTATAGCAATACATATCGTCAGAGTTCTTTTCTTGCTCATCAAATATATTACATTTTGTAGACATATCAGAGTACAGTTGCTCCATCCAATCATTGGTCTTATCTGTCTTATCTTCTTTATCATCAATAAGTTCTAATAGCTCCATAGGATAAAATCTATCCTGACTTCTATGTCGAAATCTTTCAATAATGCAGTGAAGAAATGGATATCTCAATCTAATTCTATGACGCGCATAAAAATGAGCAGCAACGCTCACATTAAACGGAAAACGCAATTTTCCATAAGATTTCAGAGAAGTTGCTCCTTGTCTTGATAAGCCTCCTATAACGAATACTTTTTTAAAACCATTCTTATCTTCATAGGTTGTCTGGACTTTTCGTCCAAGGAGCTCTTTCAAAATTAGTACACGATTGTCTGGGTGATTAAGTTGATCACGCAAAGATTTTACAGAACAGTTTAAAATGTTAGCACATTCGTCAGAAACTTTTTGGTATGGCATTATTAATAATTTAATTATACTATTAAAGTGAGGACGAATAAATTTTTTCCGAAAGTTTGCTCCTTATATACCACAGCTCCTACCTAATATTACTCTTAAACATATATTTCGAAATTATTTTTAAAATTTATTTTTAAATATTTTTTACATAAATATTTGCATATTTTTCATTTTTTCCCTTAATCCTTTTCTTGAAATGAACGTTTTTTACTTTATCGGCGCTCTTTGATGTTTATAATAGGCTAAATGCGCGAAATTTTATAATAAATTATGGATCTGTAAAGGAAGGAGTTTTATTTTAAAAGATTAAATTATTTAAATATTTTTTATATAAATATTTGTATATATTTCTTTTTTCCATTAATCCTTTTCTTGAGCGTTCTCGAGTGAACGTTTGTTTTTTGTCGGCACTCACTTATATTTACAATAAGTTAAATGCGCGAAATTCTTATGGATTTGGGCGTGGATAAGGAAACGAATTTTGCCATACATAATTTCATTCATCTTCAATTTAAAACAACATTTCCTAAAAAATGAATACTACTAGAAGAATTCGACTTTGCCGTATTAAGAAGCGTAAAATAACCGGAAATTTTTCTAAAAAACTACGACGACGTTCAAAAAGTTTGAATGATCTGAGCCGTTCAAAGCTCCAGACAAAATTTCGTCTCTATTTAGAGACGGTCAAACAGAGAAATGAATATATTAAAGAATGTAAGTATTATTAATATTTTTTAGATAATTATTTATTATTTTAGTAGAACAAGAAATGGAGGAGGAGGAGGAGGAAATGGAGCAGGAGCTCCAGGCAGAGCAGCAAGTTGAACAACAAATGGAGCAGGAGCTCCAGGTAGAGCAGCAAGTTGAACAACAAATGGAGATTGAGCCTCAAGCTCATGAGAATATGGAAGTTGATCCCCAGCCAAATGCTGGTACAATTAGTATATTAGTGAAAAAAGGAAACAACACATTCTTCAAATTCTACGAGTCGCAAACATGTATATGTTGTGACCGTCCTGCGACTATCATCAGATTATGCGGTCATATTTATCTATGTTTCGCATGCTGCGCTCGACAACATAAAATCCGCATTAAGGATATAGAAGAAGGGAAGAGTGTTGATGATTTGAAATGCGCTATATGTGGAGTTGAAGGAGAATTTTACGTTGTTTCAAGTGGATTTAATTTTGCCTTTGAATAATTTTTTATTTAATTTAACCTCTGTCACTTTTTAATGAGATCTTTTAATTATTTATTTTACCTCACCACTTGCTCTTTAGATTACTCATCCACTCTTTTAATAATTTATTTTACCACACCACTTCTCCTTAAATCATAGGCTCTTTTAATTACTTTTCTTATTAATTTTCGTGGTATTACTTTTGCTCTCATAATATTTGGAATGAAATAATGAAAAATTTGATTTTTAATAAAAATTACTAAAGAGAGAGAATATTTTTTTAAATAGGTAAGGAGCTCTCTTTTAACTTTTAAAGGAGCTCTCTTTTAATTATTTTTTCCTGAGTCAAACGGTATTACATTAGGGAACGAGTTATATGAAAACCATACAGGAGAAAGCTCGATTTTAGGTGAAGTTCGACACCAAAATTCTCGAAGAAAATATAAATTTTCTCGAAGAAAATATAAATATCAGCCACTTAAAGATTTCTGACAGCTTGTTAATAAAATTGTGACAAAAATTGGGATTCAAATTAATTTTTAATTTAATTTGGAAAAAATTTTTCCAAACAATTTTTAGAATATAAAATAAAATAGTAGTAACAATTACAAATTTATTTATCATAAAGAAAATTACAACAAAACAATAAGAACTTTAATTAAAGGATTGATTATATATTTATTTTTTCCTCATTTGGATTATACTTCGACAAATGTTTGTTTTTTTACAAACCATCACACATTATAGCCTTAAAAATAGAAAAAATTATTTTTTTGTAAAATATAAGGAGCACCTTTTCTTTTGCAATATAGAACAATCCTAACAGCTTTTGTTTGCCATTATTCTATTATTACTACTGACGTTGTTTTTCGACGCCGCGCCTTGCTGAGGGAAGAGTTGATCCGGCTTACTTGCTGACAACGTACCATAGCCTTTCTCATTTGCCCGAACTTTCTCTGTTGGCCAGTCTGTTATGTGATTTTTTTAAAGTTAAAATATATACCAGACCAACTTTACGTAGAAAAAAGCCTCTAGCAATTTATTTAAATACCCATTTCCGGCAAATTAGGCCAATTTATAACATTTTTGGAAGAAAATTTTTTTATAATTTTTTTATTCCAAATTTGAATCAACAAAACAATAGAACAGTCACCAAACATAGAAAAAAACACTTTTCTTTTTTTCTCTTATATCAAAAAAATATATTTAATTTTTATATTTTTTATTCTCTTCTCTTTTTTATATTCTTCCTTCTCCTTAATTTTTTTAGATCAACTCCCCAATTTCAGCCGGCATTTCTTCAATTTGGGTTGAAGAGTATGACTCAAGTTCTTTAAGCATTTGTTGATCCTATTAAAAGGGGACTTTATTTTTAAAAAATTTTAGAAGAAAATTTTCTTTCAAAAACTCACACTTTTGGTGACGAAATTGATTGCAACTCCTTTACGTCCAAAACGTCCAGAACGACCAATACTGAGAAAAAAATATTTTTAAGGACTTGAAAAATTTTTAAGGGCTCAAAAGAAATTTTTATATTATTTAGGATTAGTGTTTCTTACATTTTAAGTAATTTTTTCAAAATAAAAATCAATTTCTCCAAGAAGGGGGTTCGAACCCATGACCTTTTACTAAAAATCCAAACATTTTCCCACTACACCAAAAAATGAAAAATACCTAAGGATATAGTTCTCTCGATTTCCAGGCAGATCATAGTTTATCACAACAGAAACTTGTTGCACATCAATTCCTCGTGCCAACAAATCGGTAGTAATTAATACACAGGAAGAGCCAGATTGGAACTCGCGCATAATCAAATCTCGTTCAGACTGTTCCATCTCTCCGTACTGAAAAAAATTTATTTGAAGAATTTAAAAAAGGGAACGAGAGAAAATTGATACTTTTAGGTTATTTTACTAAAACGAAAAAAATTTCACGAGAGGACTCGAACCACGACCTCAATACACCCAAAACAAAACATTATACCACTACACCAAAAATTAAAAAAATACAGGAGATGCTGTAAACTAAAAAATTTTTCTTTTTGATTTTAAAATAAAAACAGTATTGGTTAAATTAGATATAAATAAATAATAAATCGGAAAAATTCATAAATCAATTCATTTAATATATTGTCAATCTTATAAACAAAAGGCTTTGACAAAAGATCATTTCCAAAATTAGTTTCCACTGAACAAGACAAAAGTCCAATTAATGGATACAAATCAACAAATGCATGCCGCTTTGGAAGCTTCGATAGCTCTGGCACGTCGGTTTTTCTTTTTCTGAGCTCCTGATGCCTGAAAAAAAGATATACCAAGGTATAGCAAGTAAAAGACGCCTTAGTCCTTCCCAGAGTTTACTCAGGCCCGGTATTCAGGTCCCACTCCGGTCCGATTTACTCAGGCCCGGTATTCAGGTCCCCCGGTCCGAGTTTACTCAGGCCCGGTATTCAGGTCCCACCCCGGTCCGTTTTACTCAGGCCCGGAATTCAAATCCCCCGGTCCGAGTTTACTCAGGCCCGGTATTCAGGTCCCACCCCGGTCCGATTTACTCAGGCCCGGAATTCAAATCCCCCGGTCCGAGTTTACTCAGGCCCCCCGGTCCGAATTTACTCAGGCCCGGTATTCAGGTCCCCCGGTCCGAGTTTACTCAGGCCCGGTATTCAGGTCCCACCCCGGTCCGATTTACTCAGGCCCGGAATTCAAATCCCCCGGTCCGAGTTTACTCAGGCCCCCCGGTCCGAATTTACTCAGGCCCGGTATTCAGGTCCCCCGGTCCGAGTTTACTCAGGCCCAGTATTCAGGTCCCCGGTCCGAATTTACTCAGGCCCGGTTTTCAGGTCCCCCTCCGGTCCGAGTTTACTAAACCCTGTAAAAGCCCAAGTAATCTTAAACTTGCCTTTCCCCTTCTGCGTATTTTTCCAGTTTGTGTTGCAATTTCTCTGGATGCTGTTGTTGATTCATCGTTTACCTCATTCAATGAACTTTCAATTGTTGCAGATTGTTGAGACAAATCATTATTTTCCACCTGCTCTTCTTCATCGTCGACACCACCGGTTTGAGGGCCAGGCGAAGAAGGACCAACATCTTTAAATAAAAATAACAGCTCAATTAATGATAATTTGAGATTTAAATTTTAACTCACTTGAGCCAGGAAGAGAAGCACCACCCGCAGCAGATTTCACACCTCCAAGAGCTGTCATCGTCCCTCCACACCCTCCACCAACTAGAGCAGTTGCCGTTCCAGCAGGAGCAGTCTGCATACCAAAGCCTCCAAGAGCAGTTTGAGTACCTCCCATTCCGCCAAGAGACGTTGAAGTGTCTCTACTGCCATAGCCAACAAGCGTCGTTTGGAAAAACTAAAAAAAATTTTTCAAAAAATTTTTAAATTAAAAAATATTAACTAAAATTTTTGAAAAAATTTTTAAAAATTTTTAAAAAATTAAAATTACTTCATTTTCCTCCTCCTCTTCTTCAACGCCACCAACGGTTTGAGGGCCAGTTGAAGAAGCACCAACATCTTTAAAGGCTCAATTAATGATGGTTTGAGATTTAAGTTTTAACTCACTTGTACCAGCAAGAGAAGCACCACCTGCCATGCCTCCAAGAGCTGTCATCGTCCCGCCACACCCTCCACCAATTAGAGCAGTTGCCGTTCCGGCAAGAGGAGCACCAGCAAGAGCATTCAACTAAAAATATTTTCAAAAAATTTTTTCAAAAATTAAAAAATAATTCAAAATAGGGATATCTGAGCTCAAACACATGGAAGGGGAGTAAAAAACATTTTGCCAAATTTAACCATTTTTAAACAAAACTATTCATACCTCAGAGGAGCAACCAGTTAATTGTTTTTCTACTTCATTATCTCTTCCTTCCCCTTTCTTCCCAACAATTTCCTCATTTTCATTCAAAAACTCATTTTCTTCGTTTTGTTGTTCATCTTCTCCAATACTTCCAACTGTAGAAGAACCCCCTTCCTCTAAATTAATAAAAGGATCTCTTTCTTCTCTTCCTTCCCCTTCTTTGCAATTATTTTCAATATTTACTGGTTGAACAATTGAAAATTCGCTACTAGTTAATGGAAGTAAAGATGGAGAAGATGGATTTGTTGAAGTAATTAAATTTATTGAAGAAGAAATATTGTTGTTGTTGCTGGTGGTTTCCTTGTTGATGAAAAGTTTGAATTCCTTATCTTTATATTGAAAAATTATTTTAGAATTTAATCATTTTTTGGGAAAAATAATTTTTTACGTGGGGTAGGGGCATATTGTTTTTGTAATTTAGTTGTTGTTGTATTTATAATTATATTTTTTTGTTGTTTTTGTAATTTACCATTCTTACGAGGAATAGGTGATTGTTGTTGTTTTTGTAATTTTCTTTTGAATTTTTGCTGTGGAGGTCCAAATATTAATAAAATTTCCTCTTCAGTTTTTTCTTAATTAAAAAATTTTTCTTTAATAGTTTTAAGAAACTTACTATGGACATTTTTATAATGCCGTTTGCAGTTAAATTTACTGGTAAATGGCTTTTTACAATACATACATAAAAACCCAAAATTTTTAACTCTTCCAGTAAGAACATTCTCACTCAAAGCCTTTTTCTTCCCCTCTTCTTCAACCTTATTTTTAACCTTATTTTTAACTCTTCCAGCTCTAGTAGTAAGAACATTCTCATGTAAAGCCTTGTTTCTTCCCTCTTCTTCAAACACTATTGCTCGCCAGTTCTAAATTTTATTGAGTAACAAAAAAAACTCAAAAAACCTCAATTAGAGCTCTACAACGTTTTGACAATTTCTCGTCTTCAACTTTTTTGCGAAACATATTCAGAGCAAGTCCAAGACGAGTTTCCTTTAGAAAAAAATAATCAAAAACAAAAAAAAGACATACAGTTAAAATAGAAATATTGACAGACATTTTCTCTAAAACCTCGATTAAATCATTTGCAGATTGAAGTTGAAAGTTCTAAAAATTAAAAATGTTTTCCTGGAGGGGGGATATTTGGTAATAGTTCGGATGGCAATGGTCATCCCAGGAATAATTAAAAATTATTTAACCTGTTCTTCACTCATCTTTATTAATTGATTTGAAATTTCTAATAAATTAGTTGTGGAAAAAGATGCAATTTCAAATCGAGGAGATTCAAGAGAAGGATTACACAAGATTTCAGGTGAAATTTGAAAGCCTAATTTTGAAATTAAATAGCATAAATAAATTTTTAATCAAAAATTTATTTGACCTTGTTGCACGGCAGCCACAAGCTTAAATAATATTTTTATAGTAAATAACAATATTTCTAGTAGTCACGTCCTATTACGACCCTAATATAGACATTAAATCCTTTGATAAGATTTGTAAAGGTGCAAAAGTACATTTAAATTTTAAACAAAATACCTTAAAACACATAAAAATACCCAATTTGTTTAGAAATCCACGCTTTACAAAGCCACTCGATTTACAAGCTGCTTTCCAAATCTAATTTAATGTTCAAAGAATTAATGTGTGATTGAATCAAAACCTGAGAAAGCTGCGTCGTATTAACATCTTTAGCAGTTCTTAAAAAAGCAGCAATACTGGTTGAATCGATTTCATCTTTGCCCATTGGATTCAACTAAAAATTAAGGAAAACAATAGGTAAGCAAGAAGCAAATTTCCCTTGGCCATTAAATGACAGAAATTAACCTTGGAAAATAAATCTTCATAGAGAGCTTGATGAGGATTAGAAATATTCTCTGGATTCTGCATAAGAATTATTAAGTGGCAAAGTAGAAAAATCAACAGTTCAGCAGTGAACCCCTAAAAATTACAAATAGAACGAATAAAATACCAATATGTAAAATGTTTGCAACATTAAAAAAATAAAGTTGTATGTAGATGGTCTTTTATTAATGACCAAAATCAATAATGGCGGCCATTATAAAATAAGAGAGAAAAAAAAGTTGTTTGGAGAAAAAGCAGAGAACGAAAAAAAAGAGTGTGGGAAAAGAGAGAGGGAGAAGAGAGGAGGAAAACGATGTTGGGGAAGGAGAGAGAGGGAAAAGATGTCTTCAAAAGGATGCGGTTCCCCGACGTCCCCTCCTAATCTTTTACTAACCCCCTCTTAATCCGTTGCTAAGCCCCTCCTAATCCCCCGACATAACCCTACTAATGACTACTCAGCAAAAAAATAAGCCTAGAGGACTTGGCTCCAATTTTCAATATGTTTCGGCTTTGTCCGCAAAAAATATTTGTCCAAAAATAATTTTAAATTTGTTTGCGGATTTTTAATTTTGTCCGCAAATTTTCCTCCAATTTTTGGGTCACATTAAAGAAAAAAATTTTTTCCAACAAAATTTTACCCACCCATTATTTTCCTTTTTTTCACACTTTTCAACACATTTTTTAAAAGAAATGCCTAGTTACAAATATATCCTGCTTCGTGTAATTGTGCCAAGATTAATGGGGGGAGAATTATAGGAAAAATGTGATGACAATGTGCCTTTCTCTTCTGACAGTCACATAAAAAAAATTTTTTTTAGACAACCACTACCCCATTATTTCCCCCAAAAAACACACATTTTGTCTCCCATTTATTTTTCAATGATTGTTTTTTGGGAGGGCAAGGGGGGGGGGGGGTCCATGAGCCAAAGAAAAGCAGTTAAAAAAAGAACAATGTGGCACATCTTCTGATAGGAAAAAAATTTTTTGGGAGCCGTAGGTTTCAATTAAGGGTTTGACGAATCCGGACGGATATCCGAATTCAAAGAAACAGGATATTTTCGGTTAATTAAAAAAATATTTTTGCGGACAATATTTGCGGACATAACCAAATTCCAAAAAATTTTTTATGGTTGACAGCCTTCCAAAAAAATTTTTTGTGGAAGACGAGGGAAAAGATTTCCGGTTCGGATATCCCGGGATTTTTGAGGATCCGGCCAACTCTAGTTTCAATAGGTTTAGGTTTTGTCCGCAAATATTTGTCCGCAAAATTTGTCCGCAAATATTCATTTTTCATTTGAATTTTAATGATAACATTTTGTCCCAGTTCTTTTTCCTCATCTAGCCAAAAACACTTACATATCCCAATAAAACCCCCTCAAAATTTTACAAAAAAAATATCTGGCATTTTTTTCTGTTTTTCTTTGTTTCCGGTTGGAAGGAACAACAAAAAAAAAATTTGAGGAAATTAAAAAAGAAAAATAGGCCCTAAAAATAAATAAATTGCCAGTTTTACAACATTTTGAGAGACCCACAAAATCACGCAAAAAAAGAGACATGCTTGAAAAAAAAATTTTTTTTCTTCTTTAATTTTTATGTGCCAACAGGATACGATATCTTTATAAAAATGAAAAATGACACATTTTATAAATATCCTTGTCTTTTAAAAAGACCGACAGAAAAAAAAAATATTTTTTAAAAATGCCCACATTTATAAAATTAAAAAAAAATTTTTTTTGAAACATTAGTGATGTAGGGATAGTAAAATTTAAAAAAAAAAGACGAAAAAAAACGAGCTAAATTTTTTTAAATCGTGCAACACTCAAATTTAAAATTTAATCCCCCCTCCCTTCTCAATTAATCACTCTTGATTAATTAGTCCCTCAATTAATTTTCCTCCCCCTCGAGTACCTATTTATTAAAGATCGAGCTTCCCCTGTGTTAAGTTTTCAGACCTTGAGATCATTTCTGGAGTCAAGACTCAAGGCATTTTCAGTAGGGTTGTTCCCCGACGGGGGGGGGGGGGGGGGAGGGCCACGGGGAAAATTTTCGGGGAGTCAGCGCCACGGGGGGGGGGGGGGGGACGGGGACGGGGACGGGGAATTTTCAAAAAATCTCTGAAATTCCCCGACTTTCGGGGACGGGGAACAACCCTAATTTTCAGCGTTCCTTGATTCTTCCTTGACTCAAGGTCAAGAAAAAAAATTACCCATAGTATGTTTTAAAGAAGATACTGTTAGTCTGTTTGTGTGGACGATCCTCCCATTCTATCAAAAGTCACCCCTACCTTCCCTTGTTAATTTTTTTCGACAAATCCTCCCCACTTCCTCTTGGGATCATCCCCTCCTCATATTTGAATAAAAAAGTTTTGACACAAGATATATATTTATTTTTATATAGTATTTTTTAGTGCTTGTTTGCCCTCATCTTGTCCTTCCTTTTTTCTAATCCCACGAGAATTATTTTTAAAAAAGACGGGTCATTTATTTATGACTGTCAGCACCTCTCTCCCTCCAATTTTTTGACACTTTTTCCCAAAATTTTAAGGGTTATCTATCAAAACTTTTTATTTTTTCACACCATTTTTGCATATTTTTTTGTCTCCATAACTTTTGAAATCCCTTAGGGGAAAAATATTTTTATTTATTTTTTTATCCCATAAACACTTCCTCTTTTTTTCGAAAATAACCTTTTAAAAAATTTTTGTCAAGACTTGACTAAAAATTAAAAAGGGCAATATCTTCGTTGTATTAATTTTTTATCTAGTTGGATAACAAGAAAAATTTAAAAAAAATTTTTTTTTAAATAGAGAAGTAAAGGAGGTTGTCCACCACCAGCCACACCATATATTTTTAAAAAATTTTCAATCATCTGATTTTCTGTTTTTTTATTAAAAAATATGTGGTTTACTTGAAAGAAAATAATTATTAGGGCGTGTAATTATATGGATATAAAATCGAGAAATATGGCCATAAAATATGGATATAAAATCCCGAAATATGGATCAAAAAATAGTCAAAAGATATTTTAAAAATCAGTATTTTATATAGAAAACAATAATTTTGCCTTTAACTTTGCATTTTAAGAACATTCTAAAGGATTTTATGGATTTAAAATTTGTGTTAAAATTTTTTTGGAAATAAATTTTTCCAAAAAATTTTCAAAAAAATTTTTTGAGCAAAAATTTTTAAAATTTTGAAAATTTTTGCTTATTTTTAGTAAAATTTACCAAAAAATGACCAAATATGGACAAAATATGGAAAATATGGATTATAAAGACCATTCTAGAAACCCTAAAACAGGCCAAAAACATGTTTTTCGTACGTTTCATGGTCATAGGAATTCAGGAAAAAAATATGGATTTCCATATAATTACACGCCCAAATAATTATAATTATCTAAAAAAAAGACTAATCGTTGAGGACATGCTCCTTTTTTCAATTTTTAAAAGGGTACAAAAAAAAATTAACCGGAAAACAGTTTAAAAAACAAAAGAAATTGACTAGTTTTAAAATCTCCATCTTATCAAAAAAATATTAAATTCAAAATTGAAAAAATTTTGGAAATATTTTTTTGAAAAAGGATAAGACAGGGATTCTAATTTTTTTTTTATAAATTTATATAAGAAGCAATAAAACAAGCCTTAAAATTTCGTAGAAGCTAAACAAGCTAAAGAAAAGAAAGAAAAACCGCGGCAGGCTAGTGACAATTCCGGACGCTTATTGCAGGGATATGACAGGTCCGATACAACAAGTCCGAAAGCGTCTGAAAATTGTCGCATCCGCAATTGCGTATCCTCCGCAACTGTTGTAACATAAAAAATTTAATTATTTTCGAGAAAGTAGTACACAGTCAACCCTCGATATAATTAATAATAAACCCTCGATTTTTAATAAACCTTCGAAATAACAAAAATTTTTTATTGGGGTTAAATTTTGTTATATAACGAGATTTGACTATAGTTGAGAAATAAGGCAAGAATATTATTTAGAAAGAAAATGCAAAATAATAACAATAACAAAAAAAAAGAGAGATGGCAGTTGAAAGAAGGCAGTTTCATAATTGTTATCAAAATTTAAAAAATAAAAAAAAATTTTTTTTTGAGTAAAAATCCAACAAATTTATAGAGTAAAGTCGGACCTCTCTCTCTCTTGGTTTTTCATAATCCTTAAAAATTAGAGTGTATCTAGAATTAAAGGAGGATATTTTAAAAAAACGAAATCCGACAGTAATCTATAGAGAAAATAAAAATAAATTTGGGTAGGAAAAGAAAAAAATTTTTTTAATTAAAAAAATATTGGTGTTATAAAAAATTTAAGAAGAAAAACCTTCTAAAAATCTACTAAAAAATTTGCTAAAAAAAATTTTTTTTATTGTTGTTGTGTTAGAGAAGTACTAGTACAATTTCTATTAATTTTAGGGCTTAATAGTCTAATTATTTCTTGAATTGATATTTTATTATTATTAGAAACAAATAATTGTTGTTTTTGTTGCTGTATTGAGGACCATAATGTTGGAGACAATAAAATTGGTAAAGTTGGAAGTTGTGGTAATGGAGATTGTAGGTGGAGTTGTTGGGAGGATTGTTGTAGAGGAGGAGGTTGTTGGGGTAGAGGAGATGGTTGGGGTAGATGTGAAGATGGTAGAGGAGGAGGTGATGAACGTGTTGGTTGTTGAGGAGATGGTAGATAAGGTTGGGGCTGTTGTTGGGGTTGTTGTTGGGGCTGTGGCGGGAGTTGTGAAGGTTGTAAATGAAGTTGTGAGGATTGAGAAAATTTCGGAGGTTGTTGCGGAAGTTGTTGTGAGGGTTGTGAAAGTTGTAGAGGCTGTAGGGGAGATTGTTGTAAGGGAGGAGGAAATAGTGAAGGAAAAATAAAAGAACTATTGTCAGTATTAATTGTTGAATTGTTAATATTATAAAATGATGATGATGGTTGCTCAAAAGAGCTAAACAAAAAATGGAAAATAAAAAATAAATTTCTCGTACCATTAAACTCCCCTTTCCTTTCAAATAAAAATTTAAAAATCCCCCTCCCCCCTCCAAAAAAAATTTTTTTTTTAATTAACCAACCTCTTTTTCTTCTTCTTCAGCTCTCCTTCTCCACTCCCACCACTTCCAATTTCATATTTATGCCTTCGCTGTGTTGCAAATAAAAGTTGATGGTCTGAAAGTGTTTTTCTTCTTTTAGGTAAATGAATATTTGTGTTAGTTGTATTTGGAGCAGTAGAATCTGTTGTATTTCGCCTTCTAATTTTTCCACAACCAAAAATATTTGCGTGCATATTTAAATTTAGTGAATGACGGTTTCTAGAAAAATTTAAAAAATTTTTTAAAGAAAATTCTAGAAAAATTTTAAAGTCTCAAGTCTAGTCCAAAACGTTATAGAAATTAGTAGTTTCAGGGATCCCAAAAGTAAAATAGTCAAAAAGTTTGGAAAAACAGGGAATGAACCACAAAATGTCTGAATTTTTTGAAAATTAAGAACAGCATAAAAGAGTGCTTAATACGTTAGGACCCCCCCCCCTCCCTCGGAAAAAACCATAAAATAATTTTTTTCGAGGAAAAACAATTTAGAAGTTAATAAATTTTTTACGAGTCATAGGAAATTTCCTAACTCAAAATTATTCTAATAAAAAAAAATTTCCACTTAAAAATTATTATAAACCTGCTTCTCCGTGAAGAAAATGCTCTATCACATCCACTGACCGTACAAAAATGAATTTCTTTCAAATGAACAGCACTGTTGTGTATTTTGAGTGCTCCTTTATCGCAATAAGTCTTTGAAAAAAAATTAGAATTTTCAAAAATTCCAGAGAAAATTTCAAAAAAATTTTTAAATTTTTCAAAAAAAAAAATTCAAAAAATTTTTTGAAAATTTCAGAAAAAATTTTTTGAAAATTTCAGAAAAAATTTTTACAAAAAATTTTTCAAAAATTTTTCAAAAAAAATTTCAAAATTTTTCAAAAAAATTTTTAAAAAACCTTTAAACAAATAGGGCATTGAACTCGTCTCTTTCCTCCTCCTCCTCCACTTCCCCCTTCCTTCAAAACAATTTCTCCACCATTTAAACTACTATTATTACTTGTAGTTGTCCCTGTAGATAATGAAGATGATCGACGGTGGAAATTTAGCAAATTTTGAGGATCATATTTTTCTTCTTCCTCTTCCACAATTTCTTCTTCAATATTCTTCACTTCTTCCTCATCCTCTTCAAATGAAGGTTTTGTTTCTTCTGAATCAGTCATTTTCTTAAATTAAAAAAATTTTTTTAATTACAAAAAATTATCTAAAAAATTTGCGGAGAAAGATTTGCGAACAAAGAATTCCGTATAAAATTTGCGGACAAAATTTTTTAACTCTAAAAAACTAAAAAACCTCAATAATTCCATTAAAACTTTCTTGAGAAAATTCTTTTTCCCTTTGTTCCTCCTTTACTTCGTCACCCTTTTGCTCTGTTTCAGTTGTTGAATTTTGATCATTCTGAGAATGTTGTTGTTGTAGTTCTACTACAGGGCCATTAGTCGCTTCATTAGATGTTGAAACTTAAAAATGAATGTTGAAAATTTATAAAAATAATAAAGAAGAGCCCATCCATGATTTAAAAAACCATATTCCTGGGAAGAGACCATTCCTGGGTCAACTCCCTAGTGGTCAAATGACCCTGAAACAGGTGTGGCGGAGCCCATTGAAAAACCCTCCACACTCTTTCAATTAAAAAATAATCTAATTAACCTCCTCCATTATTATTAACATTATTTCCTCCAGCAGATACAACTAAAGCCAAAAGACTATGTAATGCAGATTGCCTCAATTGTGCAGTTAACAAAGTAAATTCTGGTGACAAAAGAAGAGATGCTGATTGAAGTAATTGAAGTTCTGAATGAAGAGGAACACATTGCCATAAACCATTTGAATAATTCTTAAAAGAAATTTTTTATTATTTTTTTATAAACAAATTAAAGGGACAAAATTTTCAAAAAACATTAAATCCAGAAAACATTATTTTTGGTTAAGTGCAAGTGTGTTATGTTCTGAAGGCAAGGTGGGGTCGGGTTCGAACCCTTTTGAGTCCCTAAAATTATTTAACAAATAGTTAAGCTTTCTAATGAATATTGAAAATTTTTTGACAAAAAATAAAAAAAACCATATTTTTGGTTAAGTGCAAGTGTGTTGTGTTTTAAGGGAAAGTGGTGTCGGGTTCGAACCCTTTTGTGTCCCTAAATTTTCTAACACTAATTAAATGCTATAAAAGCTTCCAAACAGTAAATTGAACATTTTAATCAACCAAAAAATTTTTAAAAATTCAAAAAAAAAAACCAAATAGCCTCTTTGATAATCCTCCAGAGTCCACCCACAATTTAACAGTAAAATTTCAATTTCTTGTGAAGACAAATGTTCAAATACTTTGTCTAATAATATCTAAAATTCAAAAAAATAATTAATTTTAAAAATAAAAAACAACTTTTAATCTAACAGGAATTGCATGAAAACTTTTTAATAAAGCACATAATAAAGGTGATAAACGTTGGGCTAATAAATTTGTTGTTTGTTGAGTTGTTGTTGTTGTTTGGGAAGGCTGGGGAGAAAAAATAAAAATTGAAGAATTTTTTTCTTGTTGTTCTCGTGATGAAGAAATATTGTTGTCAGTCATAATTTTTCATCAAAAAAATTTTTGGACAAAAAAAATCAAAAAATAATATTTGTGGTTAAGTGCAAGTGTGTTATGTTTTGGATGGAAGGAGGTGTCGGGTTCGAATCCTTTCGTGTCCCATAATTTTTAAAATAGTATTTATGTGCTATAGAAAATTTCTAATCAAAAAAAAATTAAAAAATTTTCAAAAAAATTAAGAATTAAAAAAATTTTTTCAAAAAAATTAAGAATTTTAAAAAAATAAAATGATTAGAAAAATAAATAATAAAATAAAAAAAATTCCAAAAAAATAAAAATGTGTATTGATAAGAACAAAAAATTGTCTTTTAAATTAAAGACTAAAAATCACAAACACACACACCTTAAAAAATATAAAAATTAAATTTAGAAAAATTTCCATAAAAATTTTTTTTTGAAAATTTCAAAAAAAAAATTTTGAAAATTTTTTGAAAATTTTTGAAATTTTACAAAAAATCCAAAAAAACGTTTTTTAAATTTTTAAAAAATTCAACAAATCACACCAAAAATAAAACAAAAACAAAAATAAAAAAATTTTTTACAAGACTAAAACACATACTCAAAAACAAATATTTTTGTAAAAATATATTTGACATTCTTTCAAAAAAATATATAAAATGAATCAACACACACAAACAAAAATGATTAGAAAAATTGTAAAAATTCTGAGAGAAGAGACGAGAAAAAAAAGGTAAAAAATAAGTGATATTTTCTCTTCTTAAGAAAAATAAAATTTTAACATTAAAAATTGTTCTAGAAAAAGCCCCCCCCCCCTTTTTTTTTAGATCAAAAATGAGTTGTTGCTTTTCCTCCCATATTGGACGTTTAAAAAAAATTTTTTCCATTAAAAAAATATTTTTTATTATTATTAAATATTTGTTATTGTCCCTAACCTTTAAAAGACAAGAAAAATTGTTCTAGAAAAATAATAAAATCAACCTGCTTTTTAGATCAAAAAAAGAGGGTAAGGTGAGATGCTTCTCCCTCTCTTCCCCACTTTTCCCCTCCTTATTGGACGTTAAAAAATTTTTTTTATTTAAAATAAATATTATTATTGTCCTTAAAAGCATTTTTCTCCCCTTATTTCTCCCCTTATTTTCCTTTAAACATTTTTCTATACAAAAAAAAAAAAATAAAACAAAAATCATGACCTTTACTTGGCTTACAAAATAGCTCAACAACACAAAACAAAACATAAAATAAAAAAAAACATACAAATGTGCGAACAACACACAACAAAAAAATAACTTGCGACGCCTCCCTATTTTCTTTCAATTTTATTTTATTTTTCAAAAAAAATTTTCTCCCCCTTTTATTTTCCCCGTTTATTGTCCCCGTTTTCTTACAAATTAGTTCGCTCCGCTTATGGCCAATATAAAAATAAATAAAAATTAAAAAATGACAAAAAATTTTGTGAAAATTTGTGAAAATTGTTTTTGAAAAGTGTGTGTGTGTGTGTGTGTAAATGTGGTGTGAACCTTCCCTTCTTTCCTCCAAGTGAACCTTTCCTCCCCAAGTGAACCTTTCTCTTCCAACCCCTCCTAATTTTACCTAACTAATGATTAGTAGTATTGCAATCACCTCCTATTTACCTCTCAACTCTCTCTCCACAATCAACATTCATTCACCTCTTCTTCACCTATCACCGCCCATTTTTCGTCCCTTTGTCGTCTTCTTTACCTTCTCGTTTGTCCGTTAAGGTCCCAAGCAAAAAAAATTTTTTTCCTTTTTTTTCCACGTACTTAACCCCCCAAGTCTCTTTTCTAATAAACCCTACCACCTTTGCATTTTTTACCTCCAACCCACATAAATTTTTTTTCTTTTATTTTTCATTCATTTTTTGTGTTTGCTATTTAATAAATATTAGCGAGTTTGGACGACAACAAACATCTTTTTTTTCTTTTTTTTCAAACTTCTTCCGTCACCTTTCTACTATTTTACTATTTTATACTTTCTTTATATCAAACATTTTTTTCATTCATTCATCAACACAACCACTTCTTTCTCTTCATTTTTCTTCTCTCCCTTCCGATTTTCCGCCCTCTTGGACGTCTAGGCAAAAAATAGTGATTTGTCGCATCTCAATTCACCTTCCTTCTTCCAACCTTTCACTTTTTACACTCCTCTTTTTTCTTTTTTTGCTTTTCTAGATCTAATTTTCAGCTAATTTTTCCTCACTATTAATAGCACACCAAATGCTCCCAAGAAAAATATATTTATTCTTAGAACAGGCATGTCCCCAAAAAACCTACTAACCTTTCCATGATCCTCTTCCCCTCATCCCCTCCATTTTTCCCCCTCCGGATGTCATATTTCTAGGTCCTTAATCATTCATTCATTTCTTCTTTTCAGCCCAAAAGTAGGGTCAAATCGGCGCTTTTGCTCTTTCTCTCTCTATGATTTTGGAAGGAAAAGCCCCCGCCCCATTCCAATAGGGAAGAAGACCTTCTCCTTCTATTCCTTAAACCCCAACGTCTAAATATACTCCCCCTCACCCCCAACAAGCAATCAACTCGTTATCGCCCCAATCCTCCCTTCCCCAAATCATTCTCCTTTCCTCCTCTTCATTCACCTTTATAAAAACGACCTAGACCCTCTTTCCCCTTTCCTATTAATTTACAAAAAAAAGACGTCTTCTTCTCTCCTATTCCTACTAAAAAAGCTTCCAAATGGCGACAATTGTCATATCATTTTTGGGGTGAACACACACACCACGTAAAAATAAAAAAGAATTTTTATTTCTCCTAAAGATAATCATTCAAAAAAGAGTAAAAAAAAGCACTTTTATTTATTTTTTCTTCAAATTCTTTTTTTATTTTTTCATTTTTAGCCTACGCAAAATTACTTGAATCTCCCCCTACAATTAGATATCCTCTCAAAAACTTTTTTTTTTCTCCTTCCATGAGCGTCAATCAACAAACAAAAACAAAAAGAGGCGATTATTTACAAAGGTAAAAAAGTGTAGGGAAAGGTCCCTAACCTACCCTCTATTTTTCTTTCAAAAAAATTTTTTTCTTCTAAAATTCATTTTATACTTGAAGTATTGGAATAAGTTTTTGATTAAAAAAATTCAAAAAAAATTTTTAACCAGAAAAAAATTTTTTTGTTGGAAAGAATGGGTAAAGGAAACAAATAAAAAAGCCCCTTTTTATTTTTGTTTAAATTTTTAAACTCTCCCACAAAATTAAAATTTAGTCCTTAAAATTTTAACTAATCTATCAGCCCCTCTAAAAACACCTCTAAACCTAAAGTTGACTAAAAAAGTCTCTAAACCAAAAATTTTTAACACACACCATCTCCTTAACACACAAATAAATTAGCAGAAAATTTATTATTTTATATATCATTTGCCCAAAAATATTTTTTTTTCAAAAAATAAGACAAAACAATAAAAATTGGTTAAAATGCGTGTCTCCTCTCCCTCCCTTTTTTTTAAAAATGTCAACAGTTGTTATTGCGTGAACTCCCCAAAATAATAATAATAAAATAATTTTTAAGAACCATTAAACTTTTTTTCTCCAAAAAAAGACCCGAACGTCATGTGTTTTTGTTTTGAAAAATTAAAAAAAAAAGTTAAAATTAGAAAAAGGATTGGAATTCGAAAAAGAAATTTTTTTGAGGTGAAAATATAACCAAAAAAATAATTTGAAGAAAAAAAAGTAAAAAAATAAATTTTCTGCTATTAAAAAGGATTTTTATTCTACAACATCACTCCAACTTTCACAAAACTCAAATAAAGGAGATTTCAAATCAAACTGGAATATTTTCAAAAAATTTTTTTTAACCCGTAACATTAACAAGGCTTATCCTTCCATTAAGACTCATACCCTTTCATTATTAACCTTATTTACAAAAATCAAAAATAAACCTAAAAAAATCTCATTCTCTTCCGTTACATTTAGCCCTCCTCACAAACCTTTTGTGACCTTTCCCTATGACCCGGACCCCTTTTCCCCTTATCCTAACAAAAAGTTTGGAAAATTTATATTCTTAAAATTTATCTAACAATAAAATAACAATTTTAAAAAACCTGAAACATTTTGCTTTTATAAAAATCCTTCAAAATTTTTTAGCCTTTTTAGTTTTCCTTCCTTTAATCATCTCAATACTTGTATTTTCAATTTTTCTTTTAATTGCTCCATTTCTTTTCTTCTTATTCAGTTTGGTTGGTGACTTGATTGGAACTTCTTCTTCTTCTTCGGTTTCTTCTTCACCCTCCTCCTCCTTCTCTTCCTCCTCTTCTTCTTCCTCTCTTATTTCTTTTTCCTCCTCTTCCTTTAATTTTCTCTTTTTATTCTTCAATTTCTTTGAAGACTTGGTTGGAACATCTTCTTTTTCAGGTTCTTCTTCCACTTCTTCAACCTCCTCCTTCTCCTCCTCTTCTTCTATTTTTTCTTCCTTCTCCACCTCTTCCTTTACTTTCCTTTTTTTATTCTTCAGTTTCTTTGGTGATTTGTTTGGGACTTCTTCTTCAACATGTTTAAACTCATTTTCTTCTTCAGCCACTTCCTTCTCTTCTTCCTCTCCTCTTTTTTCTTCCTTCTCTTCCTTTACTTCCCCCTTTACCATCTTTCTCAATTCTTCCTTTATTTTTTCCATTTTTGTTTGAACCTTTCCTTTTCTCAATATTTTTTGAATCAATTCAGCATTTAATGGCTTCATATCATCTTCCTTTTCCCATTCATCCTGTTCTGTAGGATACAAAACTTCTTCACCACCTTCAAAAAAAATTTTTTTTGAACCCTTTTCTTAAAAATTATAAAAAAATACTCTTCTTTTCCACTGTAGTAACCAATCCATCAGCCCTTACTTTGACTTCTAATCCGTCTGGAAGGGTAGAACATTCTCCAACAATTTCAACAAGTTCGGGCTCTGGAGGCAATTCAAAATTTATTTCGTTGGAAGAACCTAAAAAAAAGATTTTTTTGAAAAATTTATATTCAAAAATTAAATAAAATAAAACCAAAATCAACATAAACAGGCAAAGAAACATTCACAGCTGCTAAATAAACCGATCTTATATTTATTGAACCACCAGGAAAGTCTTCCAAAAGTGAAGAAATAATAGCTGAAGCATTTGATTTGAGATGTTTAATTTTTTGATTTAAATTTCCAACACTGGAAAAAAATTAAAAAATAATTTTTAAAAATTTTTTTTGTTTTTTTAATTTAAAATTTATTAGAAAAATTTTGAAAAATAAAAAAAAATATTTAGAAAATTTCCAAAAAAATTTTGGAAAAAAAATTTAAAAAAAATTTTGAATTAGAAAAATTTTAGAAAAATCAAAAAATGTTTTCAAAACATCCAAAAAAATTTTTCAATTTTCAAAAAAAAAAATTCTTAAAAAATCTCAAAAAAATTTTCAAACCGAATAGTAATTGCATCATTCATTGGCATAAAAAATATTAAAGTTTGATTATAAGCTTCTTCAATTCTTTTAGAAAAATTTTGTTCAGATTTGATTAGAATTGGACGACTAAAAAATTTAGAAAAATTATTTTAAGCTGTAAAATAAATTCCAGGCAAATTTTTTGGTTAAATGGATTTGTCTTGAGTTATAAAGAATATGAATAATTTCTATCCCAGAAATGGAATTTAAATCCTTAGAAAATTAAAAAAAAAATTTCTAATATTATAAAAATATTCAAAGGCTTTGTGTCTTCTGTAGGGTTGTTCCCCGACCGGGGGGAGGGTGACGGGGAACAATTTTCGGAGAAGCAGCGCCGCGGGGGGACCGCTCTCAAATTCCCGACTTTCGGAATTTGAGAGAACAACCCTAGTCTTCTATTACCTACATTCCCTACAAGGGGATAAAATTCGGGTAAAATTCTTTTTAACATTTTAAACGTTTCTTAAAACTTCAAAAAATAAAAATTTTAAAATTTACCGTGAAGGTCTTTTAAACAATTTTCCCATAAAATAATCCACTTTTTTAGCCAATTTATAATCAACAAAAAACATATCATAAAGATTTGCAAGCTTAACACGATCCGTGACTTCAGTATATTCACGAGTTAATTGTATAAAAGTCAAAATCTAAAAAAATATAAAAAAATATTTTTAAATTATAGAATTTTGCAACGAATCTGATTTATAGATAATTTAAAAATTAGACAGGCTTCCATTAAAGATACTCTTTCTTGAAATATTATAATTAGCCAGGCAATAGATAAAGAGCTGGGAAGGGCTGGAAGGCTGGGAAGGGAAGAGGGAAGGAAGGGAAGGGAGAGGGAAGGAAAGGAAGTGGAAGAGGAGGGAAGTGGAAGAAGGGAAGAGGATGGAAGAAGGGGGAAGGGAAGGCTTAGAAGGGAAGTGGAAAGAAGGGAAGAAGGGGTAAGGGAAGGCTGGGAAGGGCCCCTCCGCATTTTTAAAAGCAAAATGAGGAAAAATTTAAGAAAATAAAAAATGAAAGTTCTAAAAGGAAAGTAGGAGGAAGAGATCCCATCCATGAAAAGAAGAGTATCTCCCCCAAGCGATGATCCCAATTTAAGGTAGCTCTAGTTATAAGGTTGATTTAATCAGTTACAAAAGGTATCCGAAAAACGAGGTTCGCTGACCTCACATCCCTTTTAAAAACGAACTTCAATCAAAAACCGAATTTTCTAACATAAAGTCTAAAGAAACCTTTGTATAATTAACTCCAGAAATAAGTCCATAATTTTCACGTAAACGTTCCTCCCATTCTCTCGCTTGTTTATCAACATCAGGATCTGTTTGTGCCTTTTTGGAACGATCAAGATCTGGCAGAATTAGACAAACAGAAGAATTTGAAGGATTTCTGTCTGGATAAGGCTGCGTACTGAAAAAACGGAAAAAAAATCGATAAAATATAAAAAAAATATACACAAAAACGCATTGATTCCCACTCTTTTTAAAGAACGGTCGCTTATATTTAACAGTCAAATAAACCATCATTTTCGTATCGGGGAACAGAGGCAGTTTCTTCTCCTGTTTATGCCCATCATATTCTTGAAGCGCACGCAAAGCCAGAGGAATCTAGGTGAAATAATATTAAAATCAGATAAAAAAAACAAACTTGTGCATCAAGTTCAGAAGTAATTTCATCAACAGAAGTCATTTTCTTTTACTAAAATCTTAACTGGTTTAAAAAATAAAAGAAAAAAATTAAACGACACATAACGTTTAAATTAAAATAAAAAATAAAATTTAGAAGAAAAGTTTATTTAAATTCAAAAAGAAAATTTAAAAAAGAGCAGGAACCAAAAAGATCTCTTAAAAAGAGCAAGAACCAAAAAGAAGATAAATAAAATTTCTCAAAATTATCTGTAAAAAACCATAAAATTCCTGCTCGTTTAGAAATTAAAAGTCTTTTCTTACGAAATATCATCAAAAACCCTTAAAGTCATCCCCCAATTTTAACCTTCTTTTTTAATGGACCACAACTCATCAAATCATCCAAACTTTCATCTGAATCAGAATTTTGTTCATTATTAACATTTGAGGATGTAGATGCTTCTTGTATATTTGAAGATGTTGAAGGTCCATTAAATTCTTCTACTTGTGTAGTAACATCATTGCTTTCAACTACAACAGCTTTTTGTTTTTCTTTAAGTGCCAAAACACCTTAAATTTTGTGGTTAAATTGAAAACTTAAAAATTAATTTGTAGGACATGTGTGATAGAATCTGGACAATAAGTCAAAACAATTTATTAATAACAGAAAATCAGACAAACTTATCCTAGGAATCGGAAAAGAGATTGGTTATTAGAGCTTTCTTACTCATTTTTACACAAGGTTGTTATTCGATCAACAACCCCATCACGGAATGACTTGTAGTTTCGGATAGGGGAACTAGAGATCGGTCTGGATTTGGATCCAGTCTGGATTTTTTCTGGATCCATAGTCCAGATCCAGGCATTTTTTGATGTCCTGGATCAATGATCAACCTGTCCAGGTTACTAACCTAAATCCAGATCCAGAATTTTTAAAAATATCGATCTCTAGAGGAAACTTAACAGGACTTATGAACGTACCTGGACCTTTCAATTTGAAAAAGGGCCAACTTATTTTAAAATGAGGACCTCCTATCTATGAAACTAACAATAAGCCCAGCAAAAAAAAACAATAACATCCAAACTCAGCCCAGAACAAAAAAAAATTTTTTTTACAAACCTGCCTCAACTGCATCCTCAACCACATCAAGCACTGTGTCCCTCTTTCTCAAATATTCCTGATCAGTAAATTCATGTTTGGTTTTTGCTCCATTCTTTAATTTGTCAATTTTTTCCTCCCTAAAATAAAAAGTTAAAATGTTTTTATTAAAAGTTAAACAAACTCTTTCTTTTTCTTCTCCTTTTCACGCTGTTCTTTCTTTTCAATATATTTTTTGAGACGTTCTTCTTCTCTAACATCAGCAAGACGACGACCAGCCAAATTTCGACACATTAACTGATTGTTTGATTTGTGGATGCGAAAACTTCGGAGTAATGAACCAAAACCTATAATTAGAAGGTTTATATTAAAATTTTTATATGTGCTGTAGATTGACCAGAAAAGCACCCGAATCAGTTATCAAAACCCCCTGGTTACGTCCTTGCAAAATAGATTTTCATTGTTTCATCAGACAGACTAGTAAAAAAACATCGGCCATATATCAGTAAAAGACCAAACTTAAAAGATCCGCTGATACATAAGTGTAGTTCAAAGGGCAGGCTAGCATAATCGTGGTTAAAAGCAGCATATAAGGGCAGTTCCCAACCCGTCCCCATCAAAACCATACCCGAAAATAAAAATAATAACCTCCTTTCCCGCCGCAAAGTCGAAAGTGCAATTGAATCAGCTTCCCTTTTTGAATTGTTCCAAGTTCCTCATGTACACTTCCATCGCATTCCAAAAAATATGCTTCGGGAGGAAGAGAATTGACCATATTAACCATCGCATTATCATCATGAGTAAAATGGCTGCGGATAAGCATTTAGTACGTCTTCTGAATTGAGTTATAAAGGCTAAAAAATTTAAAACATCGATTACCTTCCCAAATCCTTCAAATATAAATCGACAACAACGATCTATAAAAAAAAGCCAAAATCAGACAACTTATCAAATCAATTTATTGAAAATGGCCAAACAATAAAATAATGTGTGTATGATTAAATAAAATGTCAAAAAACAAAAAATAATAATAACGACTACGACAACATTAAAGAGACAACAAATCCTCCTCTTTTATTGACTCCCTTCTTTTTTAGCAGCCTCTTCTCCCTCATCTTGTTTTGTAGAAGAATCAGAAGTTTGATGTTGTTGTTGGTTTTTCTCAGCCATTTTACGATATGCAGCTTCAAAAAGCTTCAATGACTTCTGTTGTAATTCATTAATCCCTTCGCGAACTTCAGAAGCTTTGAGAGCTTCCCGATTCGTCAACTTCTGCTTAAGGTTCTCGCAACGTTCTTTAACAACTTTGACCTTTAAAAAACAAAGTTAAAAAATGCCAAAACATGTAAAAACCTCATCCTCATTCAACTGATCCGCATACTCAGCCATCTTTGTTTCCGTGTCGTGTAAGACTGATTCAGCATGGTTAATAGCTTCAATAACTTCCTTCTTCTCAGCATCCTCAGCAGCATGTTTTTCAGCATCACGGACCATATTCTCTATTTGATCCTTAGAAAGTCCACCAGACGATTGAATAACAACTACAAAAGAAAAGAAAGTCAAAAATTATAAAAAATCAAAACCTTGCTGCTCTTTTCCAGTACCACGATCACGTGCAGAAACATTAACAATACCATTGGCATCAATATCGAATGTTACCTCAACTTGTGGAACACCACGTGGAGCCGGAGGAATACCAATTAAGGAAAATTGTCCGAGAAGTTTATTGTCAGCAGCCATTTCACGTTCTCCTTGCAAAACTTTGATTTCAACTTGTGTTTGACCATCCGCAGCAGTCGAGAAAACCTATGAAATAAAAATGTAAAAAAGCAAAACGAACTAAAAACCTGGCTTTTCTTCGTAGGAATTGTTGTGTTTCTTCCGATAAGCTTTGTAAATACACCGCCCAAAGTTTCAATACCAAGAGAGAGTGGAGTAACATCAAGCAAGACAACTTCTGTAACATCCCCTGCAAGAACACCAGCTTGAATAGCCGCGCCAATAGCAACAGCCTCATCAGGGTTGACAGCTTTACTTGGTTGTTTGCCAAAAACGTCTTGAACAGTTTGTTGAACCTGATATGAAGAAAAATATTCACAAGTTATCAAGAAGTCAAAAAACCTTTGGCATTCGAGTCATTCCTCCAACAAGCAAAATTTCACGGATATCTGATGGTTTCACTTCCGCGTCATGCATCGCCTTCTTGCAGGGTTCAATAGTTCTTTTGATAAGATCCGCGGTCAATTGCTCGAACTTCGAACGGGATAATTTTACGTGCATATGCTTGGGTCCACTGTTGTCAACGGTGATATAAGGCAGGTTGATGTCAGTTTGAGCTGTACTGGAGAGTTCACATTTTGCCTTCTCTGCCGCCTCACGAACACGTTGCATAGCCATTGAGTCCTTAACATGATAACTAGTAGAAAATATCAATTGAAACTCAAAAAACCTTAGTCAAATCAATCCCATTCTCCCGTCGAAATTCAGCCACAAGATGATGAACAAGAGCGTGGTCAAAATCTTCTCCCCCAAGGAAAGTATCGCCATTAGTAGACTTGACCTCAAAAACACCCTTTTGCATCTCAAGAATGGAAACATCAAAAGTTCCTCCTCCCAAATCGTAAACGGCAATGCTTAAAAGAGAGATTTTAGAGTCAAAATAAAGGTAAAAAAACAAACATTTTGCTATCCGCAACATCCAAACCATATGCTAATGCAGCAGCTGTGGGTTCATTGACTACACGCAAAACTCGAAGTCCAGCAATCTGACCAGCATCTTTAGTAGCTTGACGTTGAGAATCGTTGAAATAAGCAGGGACAGTGATGACTGCATTTGGGGCGCTTGTGCCCAAATAATTTTCAGCCGTCTCCTTCATCTTCATCAAGACAAAAGCACCAACTTGCGACGGAGAATAGAGCTTGCCCTGCGCTTCCACCCAAGCATCTCCATTCGTAGCCTTGACAATTTTGAAGGGAACGACTTTGCTGTAAATATAACGGAGATTAATTATAAAGAAACCAAAAAGCGTACATATCCTTTTGAACTTCTGGATCGTCAAATCTTCTCCCAATTAAACGCTTGGTCGCATAAAGAGTATTCTGACTATTTGTAACAGCTTGACGACGAGCAGGAGCACCAACTAAGCGTTCACCATCCTTTGTAAAAGCAACTACAGAGGGAGTAGTACGAGAGCCTTCTGCATTCTCAAGAACCTTTAAATTAAGGAAATAGGCTATAGAAAAGAACGGAGTGCCCAGTTATGCCAAAACGCTGTAATGTCAAACCCTCCAAGCCGCTGTAATGCCAGCCTGTTAATGCCCACTCAACTAGGCCGTTTGGCAAATAACGAGCAAAAAGGCGGGATCAAAGGAACCCTCTGAGGACCTAGACTTGTGCAAAGTCACTGAGGCATAAGTTGCCACCCAACTAGGCTGTCTGGCAAATAACGGGCAAAACAGGCGGGATCAAAGAACCCTCTGTGGACCTAGACTTGTGCTAAGTCACTGAGTCATAAGCATTTCGGCTTTTTGACATTACAGGATATACCATAGACAAAAATATTCAAAACAAACCTTAGCCTGTTTCCCTTCCATAATAGCCACACAAGAATTTGTTGTCCCCAAATCAATCCCAATAACAGGGCCACGAATAGCATCACTCCTAAAATGATAATAACCCAAATCTTTTGCAAGAAAGTGAAAAACTTACTTAAATCGCTTTGCCACAAGCGGAAAAGCAGATCGAAATAAGCGTTGCATTTTAATAGTTTTTAAAAGAAAATAAAGAAAATCCTCTAAAAATAAAAATATAAGGTTAACAAGGTAAATCAGATAAAATATCACGTCACCAGAATTAGGAAAACTTAACCTTCCTACAAAAATAACTTAAGAAACACACCCCAACCAAAAAAAAGAACAAATCGAACAATGTAGAAATTTTTTTTATACTATTAAAGACGAAATGGTCATGGACATTTCGCCAACCAAGGGAAAAATCTCACATTGTCCCATCTATTCTTCTCATTCCCAAATATATTTTCTCTGTCACTGTCTAATTCAGTTAGAAATATAAAAATTGGTAAATTTCATATAATCTAATGACATCTCGTCAGTGAAGAGAAAATGTCGTTAATTGTTATATCTGCTTCTCTCTCCCTAATCTCTCTATTTTTCTTTCACTGTCTAACTAAGTTATATTTCTGTTTTACTAACTTATATTTAAATACAGCTTGTTTGTAGCGAATTTTCCGACTTGAGGGATTTTCAATTTTTTTGAGGGACTTTCGATTTTATATTTAAGATATATTTTTTCTCAAAATCATCAAAAGAAACTCTCTTTTAATTTTATATTTGGCAATCCAGGAGAATTGGGGTCCCTGCGGGAAAAAATCTTAAAAATAAGAAAAAGGATTTTTCTAGGGTAAAAAAATATGCTGATTACGAATCTGAACTCGGATTTTGGAAAAGTCGAATCCCGAACCCGAAATTCGGATATTTGACATTTTGGGAAAAATTTCGAAAAATAAACAGAGCGTAAATTGGTCAAATAATATCTCATTCGAAAGAGCTAGACGAGCTGAGTCGAATGACATCAAAATCAGCTTGATTGTTCAAGTTTGGACAAAGTTATGACACAAAAAACATAGGCCTACGTTTTTTGTTTTTTGTGGTATAACTTCGTCCGATCTTGTTCAATCACGGTAATTTCGGTGTCATTCGACTCAGCTCGACGAGCTCTTTCGAATGAGGTATAATTTGCATATTCGAATTTTTCACCCCAAATCAGCTTGGTCCCCCCTATGGGTTTTCGATATTCGAGGACCTATATTCGGGTTCGGATTCGACTTTTTCAAAATCTGAGTTCAGATTCGTAATCAGCATATTTTTTTACCCTAGAAAAATCCTTTTTCTTATTTTTAAGATTTTTTCCCGCAGGGACCCCAATTCTCCTGGATTGCCTTATATTTTTTAAGGTCAGAATAATTCAAAAATCAAATTTAATTCAGCAAGAAAATGAATGCCCACTATGTTGCTTCAGCAAATGAATTTCCAATCAACATTAAAACTGCTTATGGAATTTCAAAAATACAGGTTTTTAGAATAAATTAAAGTCTAGACCGGTTATTGAACCTGACAGACTTTATTTTTTTCCTCCCCAACATTTACAGAATGGTCAGACTTTTCCTGTATTCCTTCCCAATTGCCCTTCTATATTCCTAGCTATGCAAAAACAAGTAAGAGGAGGATTACCTTTTTCGTAGTAAACAAGTATGAGGTGTCAGAATACTCATTTTCTCAATTAAAAAAATTGGGATGAATAAAGGAAAAATTCTGATCATTCTGAAGATATAGAGTAAAAAACTTGGGGAGGAAAAATGGACTCTGTCAGGTTCAATATCACCTATGAAAACCCTCTTAAAAATTTTTTTTTCAAAGTTTTCCAATGACGTTACTAGAAGATTAATTGCAATTTCTACATGGGATGGATTTGTTCGAATTGTTGATGTAACCAATCCTGGCTCTCCACAAGATATGCGGACATATTATCATTCAAAATCTGTTCTAAGCTGTGCATTTATTGTAAAATTTTGAATTTTTATAGACTTTAAAAATTAAAAAAATTTAAGGACTCAACCAAGGTGGTTAGCGGTGGACTTGACGAAGTTGTTAAGGTTTGCGATTTGGAATCTGCTAGAGGTTTTTTTTTTAAAATTATTTTTTTGGAATTCAATTTTCGTCCCCTCTTTTGGCCCTCTTTCGTCATCCCCAGTTTCTTTCTTAAGAATGCACTCAATGTTCAGATTATTAATGTCTTTCAGTTAAGTTAAAGTTTAATAAAGTGAAATTGAGGAAAGAAGGAATTCTGACCATTATGTTCATTCTTAAGGAGGAAAAATGAGAAAGGAATGCCCTGCTATTACTCTAATTTCGGTAATTCTGACTGAGTTTTGTTTTTCCTTTCTTTCCTGTTTACCTTCCCCACTCGGTTCTCAATCCTTCATAATTAAAAACGAACGATTCTTCGCTTATCATATTTCTCCTCCCGTTCCCATTTTTTTATTTAATCAAGACAAAAAATAAGGGGGAGGAACCAAACTTGGACTTGCCCTAATTTTATTAAATTTAATATTTTTTTAATTTATAGAAACAGTAATGGGACAACATTCCAATGCTGTTAGATGTCTAGAATTTTGTAATACTATGAGGGTTGCTGTTTCTGGTGGATGGGATAATATGTTAAAGGTTTTTTTTAAAATAATATTTTTACAAAAATTTTTTCTTACAATTTTTATAGTTACATAAAAGATTGGAGTCCCTCATACTCTTTTAGGCTGTTTTTTGGTTCAGTGGTTCTCTTTGCCTTTTTAGTGGGTCCCAGGTTTGATACCTTTTCAGCTCCCATTATTTTTTCAACTTTCCCCTACCCAGTAAAAAAATTCTTTTAAGTCTTCAGTTGTCAAAATATTTTCTTTGGTTAAGTGGTTTTAATTTTTGTTCTGCCTGTTTTGGGGGTCTTAGGTTCGATACCTCCAGGCGCCCTTAATTTTTTCTTGTGTTACCCTGTATCGATAAACAATTTTTTGAAAGTCTTTCTTCATTCTAAATGTTTCAAAAAAATTTTTTAAACTAGATTTGGGACATTCGTGCCTTAATGCCTGTCAATTCACTAGATTGTGGGGAAAAAGTTTATGCTCTCGACGTAATTGACAATCGTGCTGTTGTTGGGACAAAAGACAGGCGTGTACTTGTTTGGGATGTTAGGAGCATGAAAACGCCTCTTCAAGTGCGAGAATCGCCTTTAAAGGTTTTTTAAAAATTTTTAAAAATTTAAAGAATTTTTCTCTTTCAGTTCCAAACTCGTTGTATAAAATGTTTTCCTTCAGGTGAAGCTTTTGTTTTGTCGTCCATTGAGGGTCGTGTAGCTGTTGAATATTTTGATATGGACCCGGAAGTGCAAAAAGGAAAGGTTTAAAAAATTTTTTTAATTTTTAAAAATTTTTCTGGAAAAATTTTTTTTGAAAATTTTTAAAATTTTTTTTGAAAATTTTCTGTCAAAATTTCGAAAAAAATTTTCTGTAAAAATTTTCAAAATTTTTTGAAATTTTTTTTGAAAAATTTTTAAAATTTTTTTTGAAAATTTTCGCGAAAATTTTTTTGAAATATAAAAAAATTTTTTCCCAGTACGCCTTCAAATGTCATCGTGTAAAAGAAGAGGTCAATGAATTAATTTACCCAGTTAATGCAATAGCTTTTCATCCAATTCATCGAACTTTTGCAACTGGGGGAAGTGATGCGATTGTTAATATGTGGGATCCGTTTAATCGAAAAAGGTTTTTCTTTGGAAATTTTTATTTTTAAAAAATATTTTAAAATTTTTAGACTTTGCCAGTTTCGAAGGTTTGCGATTTTTAAAAATTTTTGAAAATTTTTTTTATAATTTTTTAAAGAATTTTGATAAATTATTGTTTACAGATATATGAACTCTTACATTCATATGACAAAGGGGGTCTTTGAATAAGTTCTCCTACCTTTCTTGCTTCTAAAATAAAATAAAAATTAATTTTGATTTATTGGAAAAAAGGTGGAATAGAGGGAAAAAGGAATGCCTGACGACTAAATTTTTAGAGAAATTTTGGTTTTTTTTTTAAATTAGTGCCTTGCAATTATTTTTTTTTGCAATTATTTTTTTCATTGAATTGAGATTAAAGGGGGGTCTGTAAACGACAATTTTATCAAAAAAAATCTCCAAAAAATTTCTCAAAAAAATTTTTCTTTCGTTTAAGGTTCCCAAACTCAGTTGTCAGTTTATCCTTTTCACCGGAAGGCACACTTTTAGCTATAGCCAGTACTTATATGTATGAGGAAGAAAGGGATGATCCTTCTTCAATACCGGAAAGTGCTCTTGCGATAAGGCGAATGACTGACATTGAGGTTAGACCAAAATGAGGAGAGGAAAAAAATGATTTTTTGGAAGAAGTAAAGGTCTCATATTTTTTGATTAAATTTTGATTGTTTATTTTTTAGTTTTGAATCGTCTTTTAAATTATTTTTCTATTTTATTTTAAATATTTTATGAAAACTTAAAACCTCAGAAAACATTTTTTATTTGGTTTATCAATAGGGAACACGCCCAACTTGGCGCGCGGCCATAATGGCGCAAAGCCATAACTTGTTAAAAAATTTCTGGCCTTTATCAATTTTGGTACCATTCTCTTCAGCTCGATGAGAGGAATCGTTTAATACTAAATTTGGTAAGATTAGGAAATTTTGGAGCAAGTTATGGCGTTGCGCCTTTATGGCCGTGCGCCTATTTGGGCAGTACCCGCTTGCTTTCCTTGTCTATACTTGTAGAGAAGACGTCCATCCAAATATTCATCTTCAACTTCCATTTTTCTTTTTGATGTGAAGCTGTTCCTTTGTCCATCGGTGGTGAGAACCCTTTTTTGAGAAATTATACGATTTATAAAACGCCTATGACTTGATGAACTTCATCGGCTAGTGCTCCTCTGGGAGCCATACCCAGCACTGAAGGACTACCTAAACACGTTCTTCTCATGCTTCGGCTGTCGTTTTACAAATTTAAATGAACAAATTTGAGTAAAAAAGCAGAGGAAAGAAGAAAAATTCTTGAAAACCCCTAAAAATCGAAAAATGACATTGCTCCCATATTTAAATAAATAATTTACGCTAAACGAAAGTTTCGCAACGAAAGCTTACTTAAGTGAGAAAGCTTTGAAACAAAAGAGAGTGAGAAAAATGCAATTTTTTTTTTCATTTTTTGAGATTTTTAGGGGTAACGTACCGCGGTACTTTGGTGTTTTTTTTCATTTTTATATGTTTTTTTTTTATTTTTTATTCGTTTCATTCGTTATTTTCTTTGCCCTCTTTGCATGCGCGCGCTAAAAATCTTTAAAAAAATCTTTAAAAATGAAATCTTCAAGTCCTCAAATTTTCCAAGTTTAGGCTCTTCTCTTCACTGGCTGGCTGATGGTGGGGCTCTTCATGGAACTTGCTGACTGATGGTGGTGGCTCTTCATGGAACTGGCAACTGGAGGTGCGTGGCAGATGATGGATGGTGTATGGTTTATTTTTACGTCTCGGGGTGGTCCGTTGGCTTTTAAGATGGTGGCCCAGTGGTTTTAAATTTTGGGGGGAAATGGGGGCGGGGGTGTTTTTAAGATGGGTGACGTCTCAAACAAATTTTTTATCTTTTTATAGGCTCTTCAGGCTCAACACCAATGGTATGACTCATCCTTTCCTAACTGACGGTCATTTTCTGTTTAGCTCAACATGGCTGGATGGCACGTCAACATGGAACAGTGGATTGGATGGCTCAGTCAATGGCTTTGGTTGTGAGGTTTATTTAGGCTAAAACTTTTAAAAACTTAGTTTTTCCTTTCTTGAGGCCCTTCAATTCTCATCAACGGTATGGCAGGCGCTTTTTAAACCATAGACGGTTTTCAATTTAGATGGCTGGATGCTCTGCCCAGTTTGATGGTGGCACTTGTTCAAATGGATGGTGCTGTTTGGTTTGGGGTGTGGTTTTTTAAATTTTGGGGGAAAATGGGGGCGGGGGTATTTTTAAGATGGTGGCCCAGTGGTGCTCTGCTTGGTGGCCCGTTGGATGCTTTGGTGGTTGGTCCATTGGCTGCTCTTCTATACGGCTTATTTTTTAATTTTATGAACACATACTATTTTTTATTTTAGATCCACTTTTTTCATCAATGGTGGCTTGCTTGCTCATTGGACTTGGAGAATATGCTCATTGGACTGGGTGGTGGAAGAATATGCTTATTGGTTGGTAGTGGTGTGGTTTTTTATTTTTAAAGTTTAAAAAAATGGGAGGGAAGAGGAGGGGTTTTAGCTTGGTGGTGGTGCTCGTCTACAGGCACTCGTCTACTTTTGGTGGTGGCTCTTCATCCAACTCTTCCTGGTACGTTTAATTTAAACTTTAAAAAAATCAAAAATTTGGCTTAAAAATGCGCGCGCGTCCGCTTTCCCCTTTCCTATCTTTTGTCTTTTTTTGTCCTTGTCCATTTTTGTCTTTGTTCACATCTTCAATTTTCTCTTATTTTTTTGAAAAGCTTAGTTTGGATTAGTTAGCAAATGGATGAACATTGGAATGGAAAATAAAATGGATGGGTTGGATTTGTTGTCTTCTGCTGGTGGATTTGCTATGCTGGGTATTTTTGAGGTTAAAAATTTTCTTTGATTATTTACGGCTTGATCGCTGTAAAAAATTTTTTGTAGAGAATTTCGTTGTAGGGTTATGTCGCTCGTTTTCTTAAAATTCAAATTTTTTCTGGCATTCTGTTTTTATGGGATATTTTGTCATTATGCAAGAGACTACAGGAAAGAAGAGACTAGAGAAAAATAATTTTATGGCACTTGAGTCTCGAATGTTTGTTTCTCTTTTCCACCGTGATTTTAGAATAACTTGCTGAAGAATCGTCTCTCTCCTTGTCTACGTTTACGGCAATAATTCTTCATCTTAACTTCCATTTCATTTTTGGTGGAAAACTGTTCCTTGTCCATCGGGGTTGAAGACCCTTCGTTGAGAAATCTATACTAGTGGAGAAGACGTCCACTGTGATTTTAGAACGACTTGCTAAAGGATTGTCTCTCTCCTTGTCTATACTCGTAGAGAAGACGTTCACGCAAAATTCTTCATCTTCCATTCTGGGTACTTTTTGGTGGGAAGCTGTTCCTATATCCACCGCTGTTGAAGCCGCTTCTTTGGGAAATTATACGACTCATAAAACGTCTATGACTTGACCTAAACGTCTTCGTCGGCTAGTCAGCTTAGTAAACATAAGTGCTCATAAATCACCCTAATTTCCGCCCCAACGAATCAGTCAAAAATTCCCCAAAAATTTCTTAAGAAAACCCCTCAAAAATAACCAATTTATCAAATTTTCAAAATATTATATACTTGAATAAGACAAAAACAAAATTTAAAAAATAATCAAAAAAAAACTTTCAAAAAATATCATTCCTTTTTATTGTCCTTGTTTCAACTTCTTTCTTTCAAGTAAACGTTCACGCAACGATTCTTCATCCTCAAATTCCATTTTGGGTACTTTTTGGGGAGAAATTGTTCCTATATCCATTTGGGTTGAAGAAGAACCTTCTATGGAAAAATAAAAATTTTTTTAATTTTCAAAAAGAAAGCAAAAAACAAACCGCTTGTATTTGTACGTGATGATGTTGGTTCATCCGTCGTCGAAATTTCTTTTTTTACTTTTTTTGTTGAATGCTTCTCTTCTGATTTTTTGCTTTTTTTACTTGTCTTCTCCTTAAAAATATTTAAAAAAATTTCAAAAAAAAATTTTTTAACTCTAAAAAACCTCTTTTTCAACCTTCTCCTTGGGTGAACGACTTCGTTTCTTGTCCTTTTTTGAAGGTGAACGACTTTTCTTTTTTTCCTTTTTTGAGGAAACTAGGCTCTTGTCCTTGTCTTTTTTCTCCTCTTTACGAGCACTTCGTTCTTTTGATCTGGAAAAATTTCTTTTAATTGAAGAGCCCCCTCTTAATAAGAACCCCCTCCCCTCTAAAATCGAAAAAAGGGGAGCAGGCCAAGGTACTGCAGAGCTATAATTTCGTTCAGAATCGAACCATACCAGTAAGTCCAGATTCGACAACTCTGAAGGAAGCTACAGCTCTGCGGTACCTCGGGCCTGTGGTACCATGGGGGTGTTCCTCGAAAAAAGTCCCCTCCCCCTTAAATTTATGGGCTACAAACAATTCCTTCCCTCTTTTTAGATGAAAAAGAGTATTGAAATATAGCCCCCCTCCTCCCCCTCAAAAAACCCCAAAGTAAAAAATGTTTAAAAAATCACAAACCTCTCTCGTTTTGGTGGTTTACTATCCTTCATAGAACGTTCACGTGAAGGAGTTCGCCTTCTTTTACGATCACGACTTGTAGAACGCCTCCGACTTGATGAACGTCTACGTCTGCTGTTTGAACGCCTCCTTCTACTTGATGAGCGTCTTCGCCTACCAGTGGATGGGCTTCTACGCCTACTTCTGCTTCGCCTTCGAGAACGGGAACGGCGTCGACGGTAATAGGATGAAGAACGACTTCGGGAGCGACGTCGTAAACGCCTTGGACTTCGGCTGCGAGGACTTCGGCTTCGTGTAGGTAATGTTGATGATGAAGGAATTCCTGCCATTTGCATAGGAGAAGGAACTGAGGCTAATGCACCAGTTTTTGAGGGGGAATAACCACGACCTGTAAAAATAAAAAGAACTAGTTTTTCTAAAGAAATGCAGCTAAAAAAAGCAGCATAAGAAGCCTAAAGAAGAAAAAAGCCTAAAGAAGCCTAAAGAAGAAAAAAGCCTAAAGAAGCTAAAGAAGACAAGGTTCCCCCTAATGTGGTGACAGTTAAAGGTAGAGATCGACATCTGGTTCTGGGCCGTCTACGTCTGCTGTTTGAACGCCTCCTTCTACTTGATGAGCGTAGAAGGGGGGCCGTGCCGTGCATATGGTTGGGTTTGAATTGGTCCTTGGGTCTCAACTAAAATAAATCTAGATTTGGGCTTGTATGATCCGACCAGGATTTAGAACCATCGTATCTCTTTTGGAATGAACCTACATAAGCCTCCTCTCCAGCCTCACTACTTTCCTCCAAAATTTAAAAATATAGTTAACCTATTTCGCCTGTTGCAGCAACAGCACCACCACGAATTGCTTCCTCAACTTCTTCCAATGATTGCTCGGCTGTTTTTCGTTGTGGTTTAATTATTGCGACTTTGGAATGTTGAATTCTTTAAAATTTGAAAATTTTCTAGAAATTTTAAAATTAAGAAACCTTAAAGTTCTCCCTTGAAATTCAATACTGTCACTATTTTGTAATGCTAAAGGAACAGAAGATTGTTGTGAAAATTCAATATAAGCATAATCGCAGGGTAATTGATCATTCCCAGCAGCCATTCTCAAATACATTACCTTAAATAAATTTTTTTAATTAATCAAAACCGGGGATGGAAGCGTCGGAAATAGGGATCCGGGAAGGGATAAAGTTAGAATCCATGAAGTGGGCAGAAACTTGGACATGTACTCTAGGAAAATCACAGGCCCTTAACCTATACAAACTAAAGATCAGCAAGCCCCTTACAAATAAGAAAATAACCAGAGCAAGGTCTTGGACAATTAGTCAGGGGATAGCCCAGGGCTTTCCAATCCTAAAAGTGGATCTAAAATTGAAATTTGACGATAAAAAATTTTAATTAGTTTATTGTGTTTCTTATGTGAGTTATTGTGTTAATCAGTTATTTTATTTGCCGTTTCTCCATGTGGTGAAATAAAATCTTTTTGAGAAATTCTAAAAAATTGTCACTGTCCCGAACTAATTTTCTATCTCCTCCTATGCATGTCCAAAAATTTTTCTAAAAAACCTCTCCAATAGACGCATTAACAAAATTAAGAAGCTCTTCTCCATCACATCCCTTAGGCAAATTGCCTATGTAAACGGTCCGACGAATTTCTTCAACTTTTGCAGGTTCCGTAGTTGGTGGAAGTGGTGGATAGGCAGGAAGACCTAGAGCTGACAAATTTGGGTCGATCGTTACAATCTTTAAAAAAATTTTTTAAATTAAAATCTAAAAAATGAGAACCATTTTTTGTCCTTCCCCCATTTCTTGCACTTGATTGCTAATATGTGGAGGCAATTGGCGTTGACCTGGTAAAGCTAGAGAACCATTTTGAACTGCAGTTTCTTCATCAGGGATGTCATCTTTAAAATTAATAAAGAAAATATTTGAAGATTCAAAGATGGAAGAGGTATTGAGAGAAACGTCCTATCTCACGTTTTTCCTTGGAAAGCACCCATAAAAATCAAGAAAAACGAAAAAAACAAAGATAAATTCGTCTTGGACCCTCCAAGAAATATAGTAAAGGATTGGATGGGACTTGATTCTGAGAGACATTTAATGGAAAGTTTTTGACTGTCTCACCCTTAATTTTTGTTTTATTCTCTGATAGTGATGGGAGAAACCCTTGCCTGACTTAACCACCCTCTGCTTTCATTTAACTAGTAATTCATTAACTAAGCCAAGGTCCCAGACCCAAAAAATGCCCTAAACCAGAAAAATGTCCTAGACCCAAAAAATAAATAAAAGTCAGCTTACTAGACATTCCTTGAACACAAACAAGTGCTCTATCAAGAAAAACAGTATTTGTCAAATGTTGCCCAACCTCCACACTTCTTTCATCCTCAAACTTAACAAAAGCAAATTTTGGTTGTTGACTTGTTTGGGTAAGAGAAAAATCGGAAGGATAAAGCTTAAAAATTAAAAAAAAATTTTATCTAAGAAAACCTTAAAATCATCAATCCTTCCAATATAAGCAAATAATGTCTGTATTTGTTCTTTTGTTGCTGCTGGAGAAATATTGCTAACATTCAAAACACGTACACCCATTTTTGGGGTTTGATAAGAATTAAAGTTGGTCAAAGCTCCTGAAAAAATACTGAAAATTCAGAAAAAAATGAAACAAAAAAAATTTGACCTTCAAGAAAAAAAATTTTTTAAAAAATTAAATTTTCAGTGAAAATAGTACACTAAAACGAGAGAGTTTTAGAGAATTTGAGAAAAACTTTAATTAATATAATTTAAAAAAGAGTACAAAAATATGAGAGACGGCTAGTGAAGGAGAGAAAAAAGAAACGGTAATTTATTAGTTTCGACACGAAATAAGTGGATATTTGAGTCTGAGATATTTTTTACAATTTTATTCTAAATTGGCCGGCACCTACACACTTTGCCAATTCCACATTATGCCAATAAGGCTTAAAATCTACGTTTTGCCAACAAGCTTATTGGCAAAACGTGGATTTTTAGCCTTATTGGCAAAATATGGTATTGGCAAAATGTGTGAACTCGAATTTGGCCTATTTTGTGTTTTATTTTTTTAAATTTTTTCTTCTGATTTTTTAAGAATTTCCTATTTTATATTGATGCATTTCTGATTTTTTTTTTCTCATTATTAATTTAAAGCTTTATACAAGATATACAAAAAATCCAAAAAAAAATTTTTTAACAGCAATTTTAAATATTTTTTAATTTATTCAAAATTCCTCTCCCTCATTATTTCTAGTTGCCATTTATTAATTGGAGCCGATTTCTTTGTTAATTTTTTAAAATTTATTTTTTTATTCTTGTTAAGAGTTTTATGCCTATTTTTCGTTATTTTTGTTGTTTTTGTTGTTGTTTTTGTTATTACTCCACAATTTCTTAAGGAAAATTTTCTTCGTTGTTGTGATTGTCCTATACGACGGCTAATTTGTACTAGGCGGTTCTTTAAAAGAAAAAATTTATTTTTGAATTTTTTTATTTTCTAGTTACCCTAAATTTCTGAAAAGGACTCAAACTGGCTGAAAGTTGTTGATTTTTGTAATGCTGCTGGTTTTGGGGTAATTTGGTTGAGTGAAATTGGGGGTGTTGAAATTGGGGTTGTTGCTGAAGTAGTTGTTGTTTTGTTGAGGGTGTTAAATTGTGGTGGAAGTGATATAAGGTAGAAGAGGGAGGGGAGACGGAAGAGGAAGAAATTGAAGAAGAAATTGAGGAATAGGAAGGAGAAATTGAGGAAGAAGATGGAAAGGAAGAAGATGATGAAGACATGGAAGAAGAATAAGAGGGGGAAGGAGGAGAACACATTGAGGAGGAAAAAGGTGCGGAAGGGGAAGAAAAGGAAAAGGATGTGAAGGAATTTGAAGAAAATTGTGAAGAAGAACAATAAAATGAAGGAGATAATGAAGAGGACGAGGATGAGGAAGAACAATAAAAAGAGGGAGGAGAAGGAGACCTACATGATGGATAATCAAAGGAAAAATTGTCTTCAAAATGAAGTTGATTGGAGGAAGAAGTGGGTGACATTGACAAAGAAAATGATGAAGAAGAGGATGTGGAGGAAGAAAAAAATTGTTCCTCCTCATTTTGCCCTGAATTTTCCCTGTTATTCTCGTCATTAAACAGCCAATAATCATTTAAAATTAAACAATTTTCTGAGGAGGAAGAAAATATTGAAGATTCTATTGTTGATTGAATACTTGACAAATCATCACAATAATAATCTTCATTTTGTTCTTCAAAGTGAAGGAAAAAGTCTTCCGCTTCGTTTTTTATTTGATTTGTTGCATAATTTAAATTGTTTTGGCGTTGTGTTGTTAAAATTGTCGAAAATGACATTTTATCCCAAATATGAGAGAGTGTGTAAAATGAAGAGAGTGGAAAAGATTTTTTGTGGGAAAATTAAGGAAATTTGTTTTTAGATTTTTTTTAAATTTTTGGGGGTTGACAAAGTGATTTTTGCTTCTTTTAAAGTCTTTTTAGTAGAATAAACTTATGATCCTCTTCTAATCATCAGCTGTTTATATATATTTTTGATTTAAGAGGAAACGCTACTTTTTGTAGTTGGTCAAGTGTGTAGCGACTTGACGGCGCCGGAAACCAATTTTTTTTGATTTTTTGTTTTTTTTTTGGTTTTCTGCTAATTTGGAAGTTATCAGAACACCCCCCCCCCCAACAGAAAATTTTTTTTTGTATTTTTAAATTTATTTTTGGAGGGAAAGGGACGTTTGATTCTGAAAATTTTTTGTAATATTTTTGGTTGTTTGAGTCTGAAAAATTTTTTTTTGAAATTTTTTTGAAAATTTTAGAAGGGTTTTTGTTTCTGTTTGATACAGGCTTTTTAGTCATCTTTAGATTTCAAGTTTAAAAATCTCTCTAGAAAATATCGCTCTTAACTTGATATGGGTACAGCCCGAATAGTCGCGCGGCCATAAGGTCGCCAAAACATAACCTTGCTAAAAATTTTCTGGCCCTTTCAATTTTGGTACCAATCTCTTCAGCTCGATGAGAGGAATCGTTTAATACTAAATTTGAAAAGATTCGGAAATCTTAAAGCAAGTTATGGCTTGGCGACCTTATGGCCGTGCGACTATTCGGGCGTGTCCCCTAGGTATATTTTTAGGACTCTTGAGTAATTACATCATTATTTTGTTTTTATTTTTTCCTTATTAATTTTTTTGCCTTTTTTTATTTTTTATTTTTTCTTTTAATAATTTATTGCTATCGTTATTATTTTTTTTATTTTTTTTTAATATTTTTATTATCATTTTATCAGTTAACAGAAAAAAATTAATTTTTCCTTTACTTGGAGTAAGGGAGGAAATTTTTTTCTTGTGGCGCCCCCTCTTCCTTTTCTCCTTTATAGATAAGAGGGGAAGAAAATTGGGGGGAAAATTAATTTTTATATAATTTATTTGGAAGATTTTATTTTTATTTTTGGGGTGGTGTATATTTTTTTTATTTTTTTTTTAATTTTATTGCAGCAGAAAATTTATTTTTTTAAAAACCATTTTTTTCTATTTTGGCGCCAACTAAAAATCATTTAATTTATTTTTTGATAATTTTTGCATGTTATCATTTTATCAGATGATTTTTTAAATTTTTTTATGGTTTTTTAATTTAATTTTAATTTTTTCCAAGCTGAAAAGGCGTTTACTTTAATTTTAAAATGCTTCAATCTCTAAGACTCAAGTGTCTCTTTTTGCTTCAAATTTTTTTCTAAAAGGGGTAGGCCCAATTAGGCGCGCGTCAAAATAGGCGCAAAGCCATAACTAGCTTGAAAATTGCTATACTTTGACAATTTTAGTACCAATCTCTTCAGCTCGATGAGAGGAATCGTTTAATACTAAATTTGATAGGATTCGGAAAACTTGAAGCAAGTTTTTGCTTTGCGCCTACTTTGGCGCGCGCCTAGCTGTACCCTTTTAAATGCTTCAAAAACTAGTTTTAATTTGAAATTTTTTATCTTTTTATCAATACAATCATTAAAAGCACAAAGTGCTCATGCCCTTTTATTATTAATTTAATTAAAGTACATAAGTATTTTTAATTTTAAAAATTTTATAAAAGTTCAAACACGTGTATGTACTTTTTTTAAATTTTCTTTTTAAAATTAAAATAAGATTTCGTTATTTATTTTTATCGGCTTTCCTTAAAAAATTTATTTTTATATAATTATTATTAATTTTTAAAAAATACCTCACACATGATTAGGGTCTGAGAAGACCTATGGGTCTTCAAAATTTTAAAACTTGAAGCAAGTTTCGAAATTCTAAAGAAAAATTCTGAAGCAGAAGCAAAATAACTAAAACGAAGCATATAGTCGCAGGCCTTTAACTTTTGAAAGGCTTTCATTTTTTTGTAAGCTTGTTACTTTTTAATAGAGCTCTAAAAATTTGTTACAAAATAATAAAAATTATAAAAGAATTTTTTTTTGGAAAATTTCCCAGTCGTGAACATAAAATTGACGCTGCGATTAAGTGGCCATTTTGCTTCAAGTTTTTTGATATTGCTTCAAGTTTTTTGTTTTTGCTTCATCTTTCAAAACTCGCTTCTTAAATTTTAACTTCGCTTCAAAATAGTATATCCTGCTTCATTATTCTGAATGTGCTTCGTTTTTGTATTTTGCTTTTGCTTCTAAAATTTTGCTTCAATAATTTTGAAACTTGCTTCAAATTTTTTTAAATTTTTTGCTTCAAAAAAATTTTTTTTTTGAAAAATTTATTAAGAAATATATTTAACTTCCTTGTTTTTATTTTTCTGATTTTCACGTGTCACTTCCTTCTTTAATCAGTCTATATTATCACTCAATAAACTTCATAATATTTGCCCTTACTCACAAGTTAAAAAATCCCCCTTAGACGTCTACTAAAAAAAATTTTTTTCTTAATTTTTTCTTTAATTTTTATTAATTTATTTTTAATTTAGTTATTTTTCTCTACCTATTTTTTTATTTTTAAAAATCACAAGATTTTTTAATTTTTTTATTTAACCGATTTATGGTCATTTTACTGAAGAGTCGCAGTCAAATGATTTATTTTTATGTTTGTGTATTTATTATTTTAATTTTTAATGGAATTTTTTAGATAAAAAATTATGTTTAAAAATTGTCAAAAAATTTTTTATTTTTAGAAAAAATTTTTTTTTATTTTTAGAGACTCTAAAAAAGCTTTAAAAAATATCTGGGACACAAACGGACTCGAACCCAGCACCTTCACATAAGGGGAGTCTAGCGCGCTTGCACTTAACCAAATTACAGGTTACCGCTAATTTTGAGAAAAGTCCTTAAGTAGCTTAACTAAACTTTATTTTTGAATTTATTATTTTTTTTATCAATTTATCATTAAAACGAAACATATTTATATTTTTTAAATAGCAAAAAAATATTTTTTAAGGGATTATTTTAAGACGATTTTTAATACGCTGAAATATAAAAAAATAAAAAAAACCAGTCTCCTAGTTAATTTGACTAGGAGACTTTGTTGATAAGGAGAGAGAAGAGAGCCCTTTCTCTTGCTGTTAATTTTGGTCTTAAAAAATTAAAAAAAATTTTTTTAATTTTTTTTTAAAATTTTTTTAATTTTTAAAATTTTAAAATTTTTTTAATTTAAAAAAAAATTTTTTTAATTTTTTAAGAAGGTTCTCGATCCTCTATCCAACCTTAAATTATTATTTTTTAAAAAATCAAACTTCGCCTTTTTATTTTTTGCGTTGAAAATGGACACACAACAGACCCAACCAAACATTCCATTCTATCCCTCCCTTCCCCCATATTTTTTTCTGCACCCCCAACGTTTTTCCCTAGTCATTATATAGTTTATTTCACCCACACCAACATCAACAACATTCTCATTAAACTAAAAAAAACTTTCTTTTTAACCAATTAACTATCATTGATTTTCCCCTGTTTTCCGCGATAAGAGAAAAGTTTACTGGTAAAAAAAGCAATTTAACCAAGCCGTGTCTCTTCTAATTAGTTTAATTAATGTTAAAAAAGTTTTTTTGGAGTTGATTAATATTTGTTTTAATCAAATTTCGATGAATTTTAATAGGAGTAGCTTGGGTGTGTGCTACGACTAGGTTGTGTTCTAACCCAAGCAACTTATCCGGAAATTTACTTTTCCTAATATTTTTGGTATCATTAAATAGAGGACGAAATTTGCTACAAAATGATACCAAAAACAAATTTTTATGAAAATTATAAAAAAAGTTATGGCCTAAAAACTAACTTTTTGCAAGAAAAGACGCCTTTTTTTGGTAGTTTAGTGGTCATAACTTATTAAATTTTTTACATAAAATTTCTGATTCTGCATCATTTTGTAGCTTAAAATGTCCTCTATCGATTGGTACCAAGATTGCCCAAATCGGACCATTCCTTCAAAAGTTATAGAGCTCGAAATTCAACTGATCCGGGACTTAATTTTTTTGAATTAGAAAAAGAACGCAATTTTTATTTAAAAATATACTGTATTGGGATATTATGTCATTTTTCGCTTTATTAATAATTTTGTTTTTATCTCTGTATATTCTCTCTTTTTGCTATACTATTTCTTTGTTTTGTAAATTTTTCGAGAAGTTTTTCGAATTTCTTCGGGGGTTTTTTTGTATTTTTTTGATATTTTTATTTTAGCATTTTAAAGCAAACAAATTTTAATAAAATCAGCTATCTATTCAACAACAAAATTAAATATAATCAGCAAGCAAAGCAAATTAACGCGTCTAACTAAATAATCGTTTAATCACAAGGTTTATTATTTTTTAGCAGCAGCAAAAAATATTAAACTAACAACTAGACGATATTTTATTTTTCTTCTCTTGTGTTTAATAGTTCTGGTTTTTCACTTTGGTATTTTTTTTATTTTTTTATTTGGTTTTGATTAGGAGAGTGAGAGGGAGATGTGAACCCAAAAAATCAAGGAAAATTATCATCGTCTTAGGGAGCGAAGCAGTTTCGATAATTTGTATGAAGGAGGATATTTACTAGAGATCAAGATTTTTGAAAAGCCTGGGCCTGTTCCTGGACTGGGTTTAATTTATTGACCGGAGCAGGATCTTGGGCCTGTAGTCCAAGAAAAACCCCCAGGTACAGGAAAACCCTAGGAAGGTCAAAAAAATGCCTGCGCCAGGACTCTGGATAAAGGAAAGATTCAAGCTTTGGTCCAGACCCAGCTTGATTACTAATAGGAAGGCTAATAAGCGAACTCATGAAAAAAGGGGAATTACTAGTCTTCTAATCATAAAATTAGGGGGTCTAATCTGCGAGGTTTTACCGCTTTTTGAGTTTTAGCCCCATTTTTCCTGGTCATTTTTTCGGGTCATTTCCTTGAGTCTTTCTATTTTTTATTTTTACCAGTCCATAGGGTTATTGATTTATATATGATGTCATTCCTTCATAAAACTTCTCTTATTTATTTTTTCAGTAAAAGCCAGAAACAACTATTCAAATAAACAACAAATTTAATCTATTTTATTTTATTTAAATTTATTTTTTGGCTATTTTATATAGCGACTAAAGCTGCTTGGTTTTTTGCTTCTCTTATTTTATTCAATTTTAATAAACGTGGCATCAGCAAAGCTGAAGCTCGAAACTACAGAAGAAGAAGAATATTTTTGTGAATTGACTGGAAAGACTAGTAAACAAAAGCACGATAAAATGCAATCGAGAATGGAAATGGTTTATTTTTTAAATTTATTTTTAAGGGAATATTAGGTATAGGAAATCTTTGAAAAATATCTTGAGTAGGATTGGAGTTTTCGAGTCGGGCAGACATTCGGTCATTTTTATCGGGCCGGCCTGACCAAGTCTTTTTCGGGCCAAAATTCGATGCACGATTCGATCTTTCGGACCGGAATGGGCCCCCAATCCTAATATTGAGGTACTTTTTGATTATCCCACGCCAGTTTGTGCGGACATAGGAAAAAGAACCTTTGACCATTCCGTACATACTGAGTCCGCATAAATATATCCGCAAAAACTGGCTTGGAATAACTCACAACTTGATTTCGTTTGAGGACCTTAACAAAATTCTTGACCATGATTGGTACTTATGGGGCTTCTCACACCATTTTTTTGGGTATATTCGGACTCATAATCATATTGGGCTCATAATGGTCAGTAGAGATCGGACTGGGGCTGGACTAAGGCTTGGGGTTTTTCCTGTACCCTGGGTCCAGGCCCAAGCATTTTTTGACCTTCCTGGGGTTTCCTTTTTTCTCTATTCGGTGTATGAATGGAAGTGATAATATTTAACTCTTGAGTCTTTTTAATATCTGACCATTATGAGTCCGCATGTAAACATAGCTGAAAAACTGGGTTTGGGAAACTCACAAGTGGCCCTTGAAATGACCCTTGAAATCAAGAAACACGGAAAATGAGTTTATTTTGACTCTGGATCCAGGAAAACTCAGGTCTGGATCCATATCCAAGCCTTTCTCCAAGGAACATTTTTCAAAATTTTTTTTCTAAGATCTGTGAGGATGTGAATCAATTGTGTAATAATAATTCGACGATGGTGACGGCTCCAACTGCTCCAGAACCCAAATTAACGCGAACAATGATAATCTGTGAGGATGTGAATCGAAATGATAAAGATGATAATAATGATGCGGATAATCCTCTGGCTGACCACAATCTTCTTTTGCAAGAAGCGACACCACCAGATGATCAAGAAGGAACGTTAAATATGAATCAGGAACATCACCAGTCTCTTTTCTGTGCACCTGCCTCCCCAGAACGATCCCCGTCTGTTTTGGAACAAAAACCGCGAGTTTGGCGTCAACAGCTTGGAGTACCTCAACGAGGATTTGGATCAGGCAATAGAGCGGATTGGGATTCAAGCAATCGGCCAGTTCGTCTACCGGTATATTTATTTTTATTTTGAGGGTTATAAGTAGGTTTGGGGTCTCTCCGTCCTCCTCTTGATTCTGGAGATTTTCCGGCTCTCCGAAAATTTTTTTCCGAAATTTGGGAACTTTCAATAACATTGAAACGCCTAACAGTAAATGTTCGATTTCATATTTGTGGTCAGTTCCCCCTCAACTTGATGTTCAATAATTGCCCGGTACAAAAAACCATTCCTGTAATCTTGAAATTGTCACTATCGATTGACGGTTCTGGAAACGGCGTAGCTATTCGAGTATGGTCTCTGCCTGATTCCAGAAAATTTCAAAAAAAAATTCCCGATTCCATTTTTAAAAAATTATCCCTGGAATCATGGATCAATAATCTGGAAATATTTGGATCGGGAACTGTTTGGTTATTTTGAACTGCGCATCTGTTGATGAACACTTTATCCTTTATTTAATTATCGAATGTCTATAAGGTAAATGAGGAGTTTGAGGGGGACTTTTTTTTTCTTATTTTTTTCTCAACCTTTCCCATACCTGGAACTTATAAGCATTGTAATATTTTCAAAAATAAAATTTTTCTTCAGCGACTTGTCCGACGTGGAGTCGGCGGCCTCAAGTGGCGACAAACTTGTGGCGGAACAACAAACTCCACTACAACGTTTACTGGCCGACCGAAGTGTATTTTTAAGTGCGACGCCTCCAACCCGAAGTCGTCTATTTACCCCGATATGCCATGCCTCATGTGTTATGAAATGCGCGGATATTATGGATCAGGAGGAGGAGGAGGGGATGATGAATATTATGGAGGAGGAGGAAGCGAATTTGATGAGGTTTGTTTGATTTTTAATTTTTTGATTTTTGGGGGGGGGGGGGTGCTTAAAAAAGGGGGCATTTTTTGTTGGCTATTTTCGTGTGGCTTTGGGTTTTTTTTTCTATTTTTCCATTTTTCAGAGCTTTCCTTTTTTCGATTTTCTTCTGTTGTTTCCTTTCTTTTGCCATTTTCTTTTAAATTTTCTATAGCTTTTGCAACTTTTGAGTTTGGTGTTGTCTGTGGAGGAGAAAAAAGAGAATGAGGAGTTGGAGGAGATCAATGAAGAGAATTTGATAAACGAGATTTTTGCGGACGAGGAGACAATGTCCGCAAGTAGAAGGGAGGTGTTTTTTGTTGTGTGTTTGAATGAGAGGGGAAGGAGGAGATTTGATTAGGTAGAGAGGAAAAAAATTTTTTTCTGAAATTTTTTTGAAATTTTTTTAAATTTGGGGTGTTTTAAAATTTTTTTTGAATATTTCAACTTTATTTGAGCTGCTTTCTTAACCAATAATTTTAAAATTTTAAAAAATATTTTAATTAAAAATTAAATTTATAGCTCTCAACCACCTCGTCTCCTTCCAGCACCCGAATGTGCCGACATATTCACCAGTCGTGGGTTCATTGCTGCTCCTCAAAGTTTAAGAAGACAAAGTCTAGAAAGTCATCAAAATTATCAGTCAAATCAATGGGAGGATGTTGCCACAACTACATCAACAAGTGCCTCGGGCCATGCCTCAAGTGGCGACTTCTTCAACTCTCCCAATTGTTATTACAACAATTGCAACAACAACACATGTTACAATAATGAGTGTTTTGAAGGTGGTGGTAGTGGTGGAAATTCTTTGGAAAATTCTTTTGAAAATTCTTTTGACAATTATTATAATCACAATCAACATTTATCTTCTTCTTGTGAACAGTATCAACATCAAAATAATTTTAATTCTTTTAATAATTTTAATAATTCTTTTAATAACCACAATAATCAACAACAACAACAACAAAATTATTCAAAAAATTATTTGTCGTCTTCCCCTCAACAATATTTGGCATCTACAACAACTCCTTCCTCTTCCTCTTCTTCCTCTCAAAATAATAATAATAGTGATTGGCATTTTTGGATTGATGATTTAATTAAACAAGTACAAAATGAAGTTGCTGCTGAAAAAAAGGTTTTTTTTCGTACGATTGGGAAATGCTCTAATTAAAGCTCTGACCGTCTATTTTTCAAAGGGTCAATTTGAGTGGGCTTGTATTAGATCTGGGCTTCTACTAGAGACTGGGATTTTATTTTTTGATGCGCTTCCTTGGGAGGGCTTTTTTGGGTGTATTAGAGCCTCTATGGGCTTCTAATAGAGCCGGGGCTTTAATTAGAGCATTTACGGCAATTGGAAAATTTAATTTAAGAAAATTTATTTTCTCAGCTTTTCTGTATGGATAGACGCCCTTCTACTACTTTTAGTGATATTTCTGGTAATGTTGGTTCTGTGCAGCAACAAAATGTATTTGATGATGATGAAAAAATGGTTGTTAATAATAATAATAATTGTGCTACTCGATTTGAGGTTTTATTTTTAGAGTTTTTGTAACTTTTCTGTCCCTTTTTCTACTTTTCTGTCCTTTAAAATTAGTTTAATTGTAAGTAAGATTCTAGGTGATATTTTTCCCTCTGCTTTATCCTTTCCTTTTCTTAAACAAGAGGGTCGTTCTTTATTACTACATATTCTCCTCTTTCTGACACGAGCCAACTTCAGGAATGAGATTTTATTTTAGTTCAACTTTATTTCCATATTACGGACTTAACTTTATTTTTCGATTAAGCCTCTCACATCAATATGCATTATAAACCTTATCAAAACGTTCGGATTCAAATATTTTAAATTAAATAAGTTCTATCCCTACGACTTATTATAAGTAGGCATGGTAGAAGGCATGTTATGTGGGTTACCCGACTCCAGACACGATTTCTTTTTAATCGGTGACATCTCGGTCTCATTTTCTCGGGTGTGGTGCCTCCTCTTATTTTTAATTTTTATTTGTTAAAATTTTTATTCTTCTTTTTTCAGTCTGGCAGTGTTGTCTCCCCATCCTTATATTCCCAATCTAGTAGTGGTTGTAGTAGTTCATCATCTATTGGTAATTCTCCTTATTCTTTTAATGGAACAATTATTCCTCCCTCTACAACTCAAAAACAAAAACAACCAATTTTTTCTAATAGGTTTTTTTAATTCAAAAAAATTTTTTTAATTTTATAATTTAAGTGACATTTCATCCCACAACAATAATAATAAATTAAATAAACGCGCAAAGAAAAATTCTCTCCTAACTCTTTCGCGTGAGGAATTGGCAGAAAGGAAAAAACAACAAAATCGAGTGGTTTGTGTTTTTTTTTAATTTTTTTAATTTCAAAAAAAAATTTTTTTAAGGCAGCCCAGCGTTATCGTAACCGACGTACCCGAACCCTGGAAAGTGAAAAATGTGAAATTGATGAGTTGGAATCTCGTAATTTTAAAATGCGAGAAGAATTGGCTATGTTGACTAAAGAAATTGAAAAATTGAGAGGTCAATTACTCCTTTCCCGTTAGGTTTATTTTTTGTTAAAAAATTTTTTTTTCTGATTTTTTGATGATGAGGAGACTGAAGGAGAGAGGATTTAAAAATAAAAATTTTTTTGTTTTCCGTTGATGCCATCCATTTTTCTTTTCCAATTTTTCTTTGATTTTATTTGTTTTTTTTTCCAAAAAAATTTTTTTCCTTATAGTTTTCAGAATTTATTTTCAAAATTTATTTAATTTTTTCAATAATATTTTGACCTTTATTTCGTATTGTTATTTTCCTTTTAAAATTTTACACCATATATATTTTCATGTTTTTTGTCTCCCACACATATATTCCCATAAATATACCTAAAAACACGCACAACATTATATATGTGTATTTGTTTGTATAAACATTTTCATATAAATTTGCAGAGTTAAAAAGTTAGAGAAATAGAGTGTTTTAATGTTACTCTTATTTATTTAAACGAACATTTAGACATTAAAACAAATTTAATGTTTTGTTTAGAAAGATGTATGTTTGAATGTCATCATAACAACTGAAACAACAAAAACAAATGTTTGTCAAAACAACAATGGAAATGGATGTTCAGATAATGGTGATGTTTTGTTGCTTGTTGGTTGATGTTTTCCGGTGTGGTTTAAATTTTTATATTATTAACGTTAATAAAAACCAGAATTTTTAAACATGTTTTAATTATATTCTGATTTGTTTAAGATGTTTTGATTAAATTCTGATATTTTATTCCTTATGTTTGGATTAAATTCTGATTTTTTCTGTCAAATGTTGGGATTAAATTCTGAAATTTTATTCCTTATGTTTAGATTTAATTCTGATTTGTTTTTTTAAATGTTTAGATTAAATTCTGAAATTTTATTCCTTATGTTCGGATTAAATTCTGATTTGTTTTTTTAAATGTTTGGATTTAATTCTGAAATTTTTTCCTTATGTTTGAATTAAATTCTGATTTTTTTGTCAAATGTTTGGATTAAATTCTGATTTAATAGTTCTGTTATGATCGGATTAAATTCTGATTTGTTTCTATAAATGTTTTATTTAAATTCTGAAATTTTTTTTCCTTATGTTCGGATTAAATTCTGATTTTTTCTGTCAAATGTTTGGATTAAATTCTGATTTAATAATTCTGTTAATTTTCCGAATGTTGTTTAAAAATTCTGGTTTTTAATGTTTTAAAATACTTGTTTCTTATGTTTTGATTATCGTATTATTTAAGTAAACATTCTGTTTCACAAATTAAAAACAAACAAATTAAAACAATATCTTTAATTAAATTATAAATTTAATGAAAAGTAAATATACAAACAATAAGAAAACATTGCAAAAATATTAACGCGCTTAACATTTTATTTAAATAATTTATTTTAAATTTAATTAACACAGTTTACATATTTACCTTGTAGTTTCTGGTTTCATTTTTCATTATTTTTTAAGGAAAATTTTTTTTCATAATTATTTTCTAAGAAAAAATTTTTTTTTTAATTTTTATCAAAAATATTTTCTATGTCAAATATGTATTTTTCAATTTAATTTTTCTTATCTCGAGAAAAAAAATTTTTCTTGAAAAAATAAAAGGGATTTTCTGGGAATTTTTAGGTGTCTGATGTGGGACCTTATAATTTTCTGTTATCTTTTGCTAGTTAAAAAATTTTTTTATGAAATGAGAAAGATTACCTCTAGATTTAATTTTACGAATCTTCTTTTTATTATTTTTATCTCCCCTTTCCAATATTTTTTTTCTTTTTTTTAAGATTAAGCTTTTCCCTTGGGACTTATTCGGTATAAATTAAACTAAAAATTGAAAAGTGACGCGTTCTCAAACAAATTTTATTATATTTTTCTGATTTTTTTACTAAAAATGGAAGCTTTAAGCTTAATCTTAATAAAATAAGTACACACACTAGATTTCTCTCTCTCTCTGTTTTAAATGTTAATTGATGATTTTTACTTCCTGGATTATTTTTTTTTCATTTCCGTAAGGAGTTTGATTATTAGCTTTTTTGGACGAGTACATGCATATCTTGTCTTTTTTTACTTTATACTTTTTTTTTTATTTTTTAGGTAAGAAAATTTTTTTCTTTTTTTTTTCTTCCTACTTGTAAAATTTTTTTTTATTTTTATTTTATTAATCTGCTTAATTTTTCATTTTTTTATGAATGAATAATACTTTTTCTTAATAAATAATTAATTAATTATAAATATTTAAAATTACCACGCAATTATTTTTTTCCTTTTTTTCAAAATTTAAATTCCACCTGGCTACTTCTCATTTTTGCAAAAAATGCTAAACTTATAAAATCTAAGAAATATTTTTTTATTCAAATTGTTTATTCTTGTAATTCTTGTTAGTCATTTTTGAAATTAGAGTTGGACTCGGACTTGTCTGTTTTTTTAATCTTAGAAGTAGAGAGATTTTAGCCAAAAAATTATTTGAATTAGACAAGGTGGTCGAAGTCCATCCGTATCGAAGTCCAATCATAAATTTATTAATTTAAATATTATTTCTAATTTTTTTAATACTTTTGTCTTGAATAATTCTCACTCACTTTAATTATGTTATTTCCAAAATAGGTAGTTAAATACTGAAATTAATAAGTATAAAATTTTTGATATTATCATTAACTACCTACCTAGTTGAAAAGATGTATAATTTAAAAAATTCTGGAGTTAATACATAATTAGGAGCAAAAATTTTGTGGCAAGTTTCGCGCGATTTGGACGTAATCAAACTTATGTCGGATCTACAACGCTCTGAATGAGCATACTCCAAAGCCTTTTCTTTAGTCATTTTGCAAAGTTTGTCTGGTAAATCTGTGACTACTTTTGAGAGTTGTTTACAACTGGGATATAATCCACTCATAGCATCATGTGCCCTTTTAAGGCAGCATTTGTTTTCCAAGTTTGAACACCACAGTCCATGTGAACCTAAATAAGTATTTCCACAAATCTGCTCTAGAAACATCGCGTAGTTCGAAAATCCACCCTTACATATGATAGTGCCGGATAATAATTTTGCTGGGCCAGTACACAAGTCATTGGAGATGTTTGCAATAAAATCAATGACATTATTACATTTGGCAATTTTAGAAGCTGAATCGTAATTTTCGCTGCTGCACTAAATTTAAAAATGATTGAAATTTTAATAATCAGAGGTAATCTGAGGTCGACCGGAGGTGAAGAAGGGACTTGAAGAAGGTGCTGGAAATGGCTCAAAAGTCGAAATTTCAACCGACTTCTGTTGCCAAGGATTGGCCGACTTTTGCGGCGCGTACACTTGCGGCTCAAACATTTGCGGCCCAGACACTTGCGGCTCGCCCCCATTTTGACACTTGCGGTCCCGACACTTGCGGCTAAGAAATTTTCGGCGCAGACATTTGCGGCTATCAACTTGAGGCCCAGACACTTGCGGCCCAGACTATTGCGGTTTTGACATTTGCGGCTTCCCCCTATTGTGACACTTGCGTCCCCGACATTTGCGGTTTTGACATTTGCGTCCCCAACATTTGCGGCCATGATTTAAAAATTAAGTAAATTTTTTAATTTAAAAGTATTTTTAAGTAATTTTTAAAGTATTTTTTTAATTTTTTCCATTCCCCATGCTAATTTTTAAAATATTTATTAAAAATCATTTCGATTTTAATCATTTCGATTTAATCAATAGATAAAGAAAATAAAAGGATTTGGAGAAGATATCTCGGAATTTATGTGAATTAAGAGAGATTATGAGGATTTGGGGTGGGGGGGGGGGGGGGGGGTTGGAGTGATGCCAAGTATATTCCCTAAATAGGAATTATGCATACCTCCTGTATACATGCCAGAGATCTAGCCGACATAAAAATTCAACCCGATTTTCGGGAATCGGCTTCCCGACAAAAATCCAATTCCCGATTTTCGGGAATCGGGATTCCCAACAAAAATTCAATTCCCGATTTTCGGGAATCGGGACGGCTAGATACCTGATACATGCTAATCGCCTTTATATATCCCAGGAAGGAAGCATTGATGTCAATGCACCATTTTGGGATACCCTATATGAATATATTAAGAGAATTAGAATCACATTAAAAATTTAATATTTATTTATCTCTACATCGGAAAATATTGTACTATATCCCCTTTCATAAATTTAAGATAAAAAATATCTAAGTCGAATAACACCTACTTATTTACCCCCTCCTTATTTACCCAGAAACGAGACAATAATTACCCAATGTGTTTAATACAGTTACAATTTCATATAGGAATGAAAGGATTTGTGAATTGGAATTAGAACCGATATTTATTAAACGATAAATTAGGATTTTTTTCTTTTAATTTACTTAATTTTTAAATCATGGCCGCAAATGTCGGGGACGCAAGTGTCAAAACCGCAAATGTCGGGGACGCAAGTGTCACAATAGGGGGAAGCCGCAAATGTCTGGGCCGCAAATGTCTGAGCCGCAAGTGTACGCGCCGCAAAAGTCGCATCACCTAAAATAAATTATAGTATGGAAAAGTTGTTGAACGGCGGGGAAGTTGTTCCATCAACTGGGGAAGATGATCTGTCGACGGGGAGTTTGTTCCAACGGAGGGCAAGTTGATCCTTCAATTGTATATTCCCTCTTTTTTGAGGTATTGAAAAATAGAATTTTTATTTAGTTTGTTTGGAATTAAAAGTTCAATTGGACTCATAGTGAAGTAGAGCCAAAAAAAACTTGATAAAATTTGCTTAAAAGACAAAAAACCAAAACCTATTAGTCGTAAAAATTGAGAAAAAAACATTAAAACAAAAAAAAGTGCCAGTACTTTTATGTATTTTCAATTAAATATATAATGATTAAATTTTAATTAATATTAGCAATTTTAATCAAATTCTTGTTTTATTGATTCCCATCATTGCCACTTCTTTGACCATTTCTGGAACGTTTGCTAAGAAATAAAAAAATAAATTTAAAAATTTGACAATTTTTGTAAACTCACTTTCTAATAAAAGCTGCTTGGATTGGAAGGTGCAAGATGCGTAGGCGAAAATATTTGATAACAAGCTTGGCGCGGTTTAAATATTGCCAAGTTAACGGCAACTCTACAGCCTTCATTAGCAGACTCCACTCCCGCATTTTTTGATGTATTACAGATTTTACTTGATAAATCAATTATAGCCTTTGCTATTTCTGAGCAACTGGGGAATAACCCCCGTACAATTTCGTCCGCGTGTTTAATACAACACGGGTCTCGAAGTGGGCACCAAAGTTTGTTGTTAAATAAAAAATAATTTTTACATGTAGACTCCAAAAACTCCGCATAGTTAGAAAATGAAATTTCGCAATTAACCGTACCAGCTAGTAATTTTGCTGCGTTCACACACCCGCTAATCGAAAGACTTTCCATGAAGTTAATAATTGTATCACATAAAATCTTCCCAGAATCAGAATCATGTCGCTCCCCGCTACACTAAATTTTAAAATGATAGATTTTAACCAGGGTTGGGGGCACAAACCCGGTATTTTTGGTTATTAACAGGTACCCCTGGTTATCGGTTCTGAGTTTTAGTCAAATACCGGTTTTATTTTGAAGTAATTTTAAAAGAATCACTAATTTTCATAAATTTTAGGTTTTTAATTTTATAAAAGCTTAATTTTTGGCAAATAATAACGAAATTTTTCGGGTTAAAACTAGTCGTGTTCAACCCTAATTTTAACGTTTATCGGTTAAGTATTAAGATCTACCATCTCTTTTAGAATTTTCTTGGTTGCAATATTAGCCTCTAATTTACTCATGGATTCGCTGCTAGAAAATAGACCAAATAATAATATAAGCATAATAATTTCTTGTCTCATTTTTCAGTTTTAAATGGAACGCGAGTAGCGACTAAAGGGAAACTAAAATTTATCAAAATGATATATGTATATTTTATTGATATATTTTATTTAGGTCAGAATGGATTTGGATAAACAATTTTATGTATGTAAATTTAATAGATATATAATTCTGTTAAGTTTACATACATAAAAAAGTTTATCCAACTATAATTTATGAGATTGATCATTCTGACCTATTTTAGAATTTAGTAAAAATATAAATATTTTAATATTAAGATTGTAAAAGGATAAGGGAAACGATTTTATATTTTTTTATTTTAAAGGAAAGAGGATTATTTAATTTAATTTTTTAAATTCAATTGATGATCATATAATCGTTTTCAGCATCTTTTATATTGTTATTTTTAACATTTTAAACAAATTATTCATTCTTTTTTTAACGTTTAATGTTAAAAAATACTTAAAAGCAAGCTTATGAATCAGTATTCAACAAATTCTATCTTAAAAAAATTTTTTTTGTTAAATGTTAATTTAAATGTTAAGCAATCTAAAAATTTATTGTATATATCGACATTTAATAATATAACATTAAGCGTTATTTAATAAAATAATTTAAAATGTTAAGACTTGAAAAATTGTGAATAATTTTGTTTTACTATTTATCCATATTTTTAATTTTATTTTTTAATAATTTTATTCTTTCAACTTACATATTTTTATTTTTAAATCCCCCCTATGTCTAAATCCTTTATATTTTGTCAAGCTGATTGACAACTTTTTTTTCTTGTTGTTTTTTAAAAGAAAGGAAACACACGAAAAATTATTGCATTATATGCAAAAAGGGCATATGTATTTTTTCATTTATTTTCTACTATACTTTTTTTTCTGTTTGTAATTTTAGACTAGTAAGTATATTTTTTGTCTTGAGTTATTTTCTAAATGAAGCTAATTTTTATTTTGTTTATATGACGTTAAATTCTTTAGTTGAGCACCATGTGGAGAGTTTAATTTATTTTTTTAAAAATTATTTTTTTAAAATTTATTCGGACACGGAAATTTTTTTGATGTTTTTTAGACTAATAATCGAGAAAAAAAAATAATAATTTTTTGTTGTTGAAATTGGTGGCCAAAAAATTCCAAAAAATTCAATTTCCTCCTTTCCTCTTCCCTCTTTTCTCTCTTTCCTTCTTGCCTTGTAAACGCACTTCCTAAAAACTTCTTGATTTAATAAACATTGACATAAAAACATTATTTATTTATTTTTCTAAGAAAAACATTGTATTTTTATTTATTAAATTTTTTAAAAGATTTAAACAAAGACATCAAATTTATTTTACTCCAACATTATGTTTCTTCATACTTTTACTATTATTTTTGTAATTGTTCAGATGGTTATACTAACACAAGGTAGTATCAGAATTTCGTTTAAACATGTTTAAAAATATCTTAAAAAATCAGAATTTCATTCAAACATTCCTATAAACATGTAGAAATCAGAATTTCATTTGAACATTCCTTGAAAAATCAGAATTTTATATTAACTTTTAAAAAACTTCTATTCAGAATATCATTCAAACATTCCCATAAACATGTAGAAAATCAGAATTTCATTCAAACATTCTTTGAAAAATCAGAATTTTCTTTGTAGCTATTGAAAACAAAGCTGCTGATGTTTGCAATGCTGACCAATTCGCCCACAATCCCTGTCGTTGTTGTAAAATGGATTGTTGGTACAGCATTGCTAAGGGTGCCACGCATGAACTCGGGCATATGCCTGGACAAGCAGGAGAACAGGTAAATATTTTTTAAATTTTTTAGAAGATTTAAAAAAATTCCAGGAAGCATTAGCCACTCTACGGCTTATCCGCGCTTGTATGATTACAGAGTGCTCTCCAATTTGTGGCACCCCAGGTTTAATGGGGATGATGAAAAAACGTCGAAGATTTCCAACACCTTTTGTAGTTGAAAAAGAAGGGGCGGTTGTTCCTTTACAAGTGAGATAAAAAAAGATATTATAAATAGTTTTTAAAAAATGATGACTGAATTTTGTTTAGTACATAAATATTTGTTTTTCCTCACATAATAATTGCATTTTTAAAATAATAAATTGAATACAAACATTTATGCTTTTAATATTTAATAATAAATTCTCTGATTTTTCAAGGATTCTGATTTTTGATCAGAATGTTTAAATAAAATTCTGATTTTTAGAATGTTTATATGAATGATTTTTAGTTCTTCAGGTTGTTTATTTAGAATTCTGGTTTGCAATTCAAAAATGTTTAAATAAGTTTCTGATGTTTGATTTCTCAGAATGTTTAAATAAAATTCTGATTTTGTTTTTCTAAGAAGTTTACTAGCTATTTAAACCATTTTTTCATGTCAGTTATTTAAACATTTATTCTTTTGTTTCCCGTTTGGATTAAAAAAAAGGGCAGCATCACAATTACATCAAACAATGTTGTTGTTGTTAATGGTAATAATTTCTCGAGAAATATGTTAAAAACAATTTTCTTGTTATTTGCTTACATACATATGTACAATTGGCTTCCTGACTTTTTTAATATTTTATTTATATTTATTTTTTTCTCTTCTCTTTTTATTCATTCTCTTTTTTTTTCGTGCCAAATACCAATTTATTAAAAAGCTAGGATTTAATATTAAATATTTTTTAAAAATAAATTGCGCGAACACGGTCATACCTTTATCTATCCGTGTTCGTTTTATTAATTCCCAAATGGTTTATTTTAGAGTTAAATAAAAATTATTTTTTTATATATTTTAATATTTAATTAAATTTTTATTTTTCTACCTAACAAAAAATAAGAAGAGAGAAAATATCTTCCCCCAAAAAGAAGCCTTTTTAAAAATTTTTAAAAATATTTTTGAGAAGATTTTTAAGACATTTCCTTCCTTTTCCATATCCTTCTTTTTTAACCACCTTCTCCCTTTTATTGCGTCAAACTTTGATTCAAAAAATAAATACCTAAATATTCTTATATCTTTATTTTTAATAAGATAATAATTACCAAGTTGTGAGCTAAGCAAAATACGTAAAAATGTAAAATAAGCAAAAATAAAAAATATATAAAATTTTATTTTTACAAAAATTTTTGAATAATTAAAAAATTTTTTAAAAATAATTTTTGGTATTTTCGATTATTGCAAAGCGTAAAAATTTTAATTTTCAAAAAATAATTTTTCTTTTAATTTTTCAGAAATTTTATTTATTTTGCAACATTCTATTTAAATTGATTAAAGAAGCAAAATTTAAAAAAATTGTTCAAAGAATTGAGTATTAATATTGTACTTAAAAATTGTTGTGTTTGTTCATGTACCGGGTTGGTTTTTCTCTTTAAATTAATTTAAAAAAAATTTTTTTTTTCAATTAAAAAAAATTTTTTTCTCGTTAGGTAAGAAATTTTTTATTATTTTAATTAAAAATGGCTAAAACACATCATTGTTTTAACTGAGTTTAATTTTTGTTTCTTCAATTTCTACTCCAAAAAAAATTTTTTTTTCTTAATTAATTAATACAAATTTTGTACTCTAAAAATTTTTTTATTTTTATATTTAAAAAATTTTCATTTTATTTTTTTTTAAATTTTTTTAAAAGTTTTTTGCCTTATTTTATCCCAAATTTAGCTTCTTTTTTTACATTTTTCTCGTCTATTTACCCATTTTTCCCTCTATTCATTAAATATAATAAGCATATTTAAAGCTTTATTTTTTTTTATTGAAATTCTTTTTCAAGTTTAATTAACGTAAGCATTCATTTTTTAAATTAACACACACCTAGTATTTAAATATATTTTTATTTTATTCCCTCCTCCGTATTTATTTTTAAATTCTACCTATACATATTTAAGAGAATTCTCACAGGAAATTATTAATTAAAAACAAAATCAGAATTTCTTAACAAAATCAGAATTTTTTAAAAACAAAAATCAGAATTTTTAGAAACAAACCAGAATTCTTCTAAAACAAACCAGAATTTTTTGTTCCGGAAGAATTTCTTTACTTTTTCAGAATTTTATATCAACATTCCGGAAAACAATTATTAAAAATCAGAATTGTTTCTTAAACATTGTTTTCCGGAATGTTCAGATAAAATTCTGAAAAAGTTTATTTTAAATAAGGTTACTAGAAACATTTCCGGAAAGAAGAAATTCTGATTTTTTAAAATTCTGATTTTGTTTTTAAAAAATTCTGATTCTGATTAAATTTAGTCATGTTTGTTTGTTTATAAAAACATACTTCCTTCCCTCTGTTTGTTTTTAGGTCATTCAAACATTAATTAATGTTTTGACTTTTATTATTCTCCCTTACTTTCATCTTTGTTTGCGTCAATGTCTAAATGCTAATGCCACCTTCCATTAGCTTACGCAAGCGCTAAAAATATTTAAAAATAAGAAAAAGGATTAACGAAAAAAATATTTTTTTAATAACTAAATTTTTTTATTAATAATCTTATCAAAATACAAATCTTCTTTTATTTTATTATTTCCACAAGAAAATTTTTTTATTTGTGTTGAAAAGATTAAAAATACAGAAAAAAATTTTTTCAGTTCTATTCTGTCTCAGAAGCTTTAAGTTCTGCTTGTTCAAGTGCAGATACACACGAAAGTGGTGCAAGCTTTTTTTCTACTGATACAACAATTAGTAGCAGCAATAAGAGATTTGGTGGACAAACAGCGACAAGTGTTCATCAAGGTAAGTAAAACTTTGTTTTTATTTTATTCTGGTTTAGTAATTCTGGTTTTTTTTAATTTTTATTTGTTCTAAGTTGGAATTTACTTCTTTCAAGTTTTATTATTCTGGTCTAATAATTCTGATTTTTTAAGTTTTCAAGTTTAAGCTTGACTTTTTCAAGTTTATTTATATTCTCTAACTTTTCAAGTTTAAACTTTATTTTTTTCAAGTTTTCTAAGTTTAAGCTTAAAACTTTTCCAAGTTTATTTATTTATGTTCTCTAACCTTTCAAGTTTAGACTTTGTTTTTAAAGTTTCTTTAAGTTTAAGCTTGACCTTTCCAGGTTTATTTTTATCTTCTCTAACTTCTCAAGTTCAGACTTGATTTTTCAAGTTTATTTAAGTTTAAGCTTAAGACTTTTCCAAGTTTATTTTATCTTCTCTAACCTTTCAAGTTTTTGTTTCTCTAATTCCACACTTGTTTTATCAACAACTTTATTGATTTTTTTCAGATTTAATTTCTCTAAACAACAACAACAAATTAAATAATAATAGAAAAATGTTAACATCAACACCTCCAATAATCCAACTTCAAGTAACATCTAATGGGCATGAATGGAAAGAAGAAGAAGAAAATTCAACAACTTTTATGTCTTCCCCCCAAATAAATGGAAACCTTCAACAACAACAAAATGGAGGAGGGAAACATTCATCTTCTTTTTGTCATTCACCTATTTTTGGAATTAGTGTTGGCGCACTTTTTGGTGGACAGATTATGCCTTTTAACAATAATAACAATAATAAAGAAGCTAATATGTTAAATGGAACAGACAAAAGGGTATTTTTTTTTTTTAATTAAAAATTTTGTGTTTAAAAATAATTTTGAAAAAAACTTTTAAGTAAGGGTAGCAATTTTATTGATAATATTTAATTTTTTGTATGTAACTAGGTTACTTTTGAAGGGGTTTTTTTTATTTTAAGTATAGGTTAGAGTGTTATTAACCGATGCAAGGGAGAGGAACAGGGAAATTTTTTGGGAATGATAGCTTTTTCGAAAAAGTTTTAAACACCTCTTCCAATTTTGAGGAGTAGTTAAGAGGTTATTCACCGACACGGAGGTAGCTCGGGGAAGATTTTTCGGGGAAGGCAACTTCTTTTTTTCTAAAATTCTTAAGCTCCTCCAAAACTTTCTTGGACGGGTTCAACTTTAGGAGTATATATACTCTTGAAGGTTCCTCTCCAAATAGAGGAGACGAACCTTCAAAAATTTTTTTCGAAAGCTCAGAGACTCATTAAAAAAAGCTTTATTAAAAAAATATTCCTCATTTTTTTCAGCATATCTTTGCCCGGCAAAAATCTGAAGAGGCGGACCGCAAGCGTCGTATGACTATGCCTTTAGTTTACAGGTGCGTGTTGGGTATATTTGTTTTTTTTTCTTTTTTTTTAATGATAACTCGCGTTAAGTGCTCCTCATTAAAAGATTTCCGAAAAAAAATAAATAAAAGTTTTATATTTAAAAATAGATAGACTTGACGTTTTAAAATTTCTTTTCTAAATTACTGGTGTAATTAAAATGTATTTAAAAGCTTAAAAAAATTTTTTTTTCGTTATAAAGCTTTAAAACTTTAAAAATAAATTATTCCTTATAATTATAGGCCATTAAATATTTTAAAAAATTTTTGTAAAAAAATTTAAAAAAAATTTTTTTTAATTTTAGAATGTACGAAAGCCAACGTGAAGATTTATGCGGTACAATACGCGGACCTGATGATGATGTTGGTACTTTAGAAAAATTAATTTTAGGGCAATTTAGCTTTGAAAACCCTCTCATTTTTAATCAAAAATTAATTTTTTTCTGTTTTAATTTTAAGTAAAAAGATTTTTTTTCTAGTATTTCCACCCAGAAGAAGCATCAAAACAATTAAGGGAAGCATTATCAACAGGAATACGTAAATTAAAAAATTTAAAAATATAAAAAAAAATTTTTTTGATGTTTAGAGAGCCATGACCAAACAATTATCAATGTCCTTTTAGCCCATAATAATTTTCAAAGACAAAAAATTGCTACAACATATGAAAATATGGTTAATTAATTAATTTTAATTTAAATTAAAAAAAAATTTAGTTTTGTCGTAAACTTTGTGATGATATTGATGAGGAAGCTGGTGGCCATTTTGCTGATTCTGTTATTGCATTGTTAACACCAGCACATATTTATACTACAAAAACATTGTATTATGCTATTTCTGTAAGTTTTATTTTTTTATAAATAAACTTGTTTTCTGGGAAAATGAACAAATTATATGTTTTGT